GTGTTGAAATGTTTTTACACATAGGATAGGGTTTACTTATTCCAGCACCATCAAAGTGCTCTGCTGAATTTTATTTTTATTTATTTTTTTTTTTTTTTCATTTTTCTTTCTTTCTTTTTCTTTTGTTGTTTGTTTTTATCTTGGTGTGTCACACTAGATGGTTTTGAAATTTCCAAGGAAACACCCCGATCCGTAGGGCTGCATTGCCTCGTAAATTCGTAATGTATTAGAGCACGAATCTGTCATTTTGTCGCTCGTCAGACGAAAGGGCGGATCTCAATTCCTGCTTGAGCCCCAGAAAGCATAGAGTTATACTGAGAATAAGGCTCACGTGAAAATCAAGGTACGCCTCTTCGTCAGAGGAGCGACGTTCTGAGAGCAGCGCTGCAGGTGAGCAGACAGGTGAAACTCGTTCAGCAACGCCGCATGTGACTGTTCGCTCCTTGTTGGGAGTGTGTTTGTAGTCTATGCTCTTGTAACTGTGCGTATGTGTATGGAAGTTGGGCGTAATGGAGGATTTTAATCAACCGAATTAATTTATCCTATCGTGCCCGGCATTGTTAGTTTTCTACTCGATTATTTTCCACAATTTTCTTTTCTATCACTCGTGAACGGTCGTGTTAAACTTGCTCCAAGCCACTCATTTTGTAACAGTGCTCCACCCTTCTTCACGTCGAATTAAGTGTTTTGTTTGAATGATTTTGTGGCCCTCCTCCTTCCTGTCTTCGTTATTTCAACAAAAGTTTTGTGCAATTCTAACGAAGCCCAATCTCCGGCCTTTTGTGCTGTGTTAGTGCTGATTTCGTGAAGTCCGAAGGCCATACGGCTGAAATTTCCCGTTTTGCTCAATTTCACTTTCGAATCCCAACTCTCACCTTTCATGAGAAAGTTTCAGCAAAGTCCGGTCGTATAGGAGAAATTTCTTCACGCTACCACGGTAAACAAACTTGTTCTGATCTTGCAAACGCAAATGTCATTCTTCACCGGCGATCTATGCCATAATATGCTTTAACTTGCGCCGAATTCACGTATTTTTCCGTGATTTCTGATGATACAATACAAGTATTTGCACCCTACTACTCAAGCTCAACTTGTTGATTCTAATGGAACAGCTGCTCTAACTTGTTTACACTTCTGGAGTCTTTCCCTTACTTTTTATCAACCTATTCGTTTAGTTGGAAATACCAAGTGTTTTTATAATTTAGAATAGTTTCCATTTCGGGCAAAATGTTCTAATATTTATGGTGGATAACCTCAAAATTTTCCTGTCGCCCATTGTCATCTTCCTAGTTCTCTTGACCCGTGTATTTTCAGCCATATTTGGTGGAATTTTGTAGTGTGGTCAGTTCTGAACCTTTCATCAGATTGTGAATTTTTATTAGGTGAGATGCTGTTCCATTAGGCATGTCAGGCTGTAGAATCATTCCTGGTTTGTATCCTGCACTGAATCCATATTTTCAGCTCACTTTTGTCTCTTAGAAACAAAGCCACAGTATTTACTTCATCCTCTCCTATGCTAATACTAGCCTGAAAGCTTTCACTATGGCATTGCGCATATAATTTGTCTTGTATTGCCTAATATATTTGTCGCAGTAGCGCTAAATACGCAAAGTGAGGGAAAATGAAATCAAAGATGCGTTAACGAAGTAAACTGTTTGGGACCGTTTGTAAACAGAATTACCCAGTTCCAATTGGTTTGCGTTGCTGGAACTTGTTAGAATTACCTGACAACCTGTGTGTTTACATCTGGAAGCCCACCGTTTCCACCCAACGCTCAATAATCTCAGGAGGTCAATGGGACCATTGGGTTGCGTTTGCAAACAGAATTGGACAAGTTTACTTTGACAATGCATCTAAAGTTTGCTACACCACAGCTTGGGTAACCTCAAAATTTTCCCATTGCCCACTCTGCATCATATACCTAATGCCCGTAGCTCAATCCTTCTGCAGCAATTCATAGTTGGTTGGTGTATAAATGCTGTGGGTGACTGGTCGTGCTTTGACTCCAAGATACAATAGGGTATATAGAGCTGGTAGGATTTCCTCCTCAGTATTGTATCATTTTTTTCATTTGAGGCTATTTTCACATCTAACCTAGAGCGGACGCGTCGTATGTTGAGACAAAAGTCAAGTATTGATTAGGTCACCACTCATCAGTGGTGCCATCTGACTGCATGTATTAACCTGTTAAGTGGTGCTGATTCGGAGGTAATCAGAGATTCACGTTTGTCTCAACATACGATGCGTCCGCTCTAAGCGTTTCCTTAAGTAACCTCTTTTTTTATTTATTTGAGGCCATGGGCGCTCAAGTCTGCAGCATAACGATCCGTAAAAGGAAATCTAATGGTGTTCCTATGACCAATATCCGTACTCAGTGGACTTGCGCACCCGGAGTGGCACACCATAATTTTTGTGGCTGTACTAATTCAGTCATGCCGAGCGCCCAGGAGAGGTTTAGTAAGACCTCCAAACTGGGCTCTATTTTTTGCATATAACAGGCTTTGTGCGGAAATCACTCCGTTAGTCAGAGGAAATTCTTCAGGTTTAAATAAACAGACAATAAAAATTTGACAAAAATTGATGTACTTCGTTCCTCTCTTTTGCCTAATCCTCGTTGATCAATGTTTTCTTAATTTCTTTTTCAGGATCCATTACACCTGATCTCTGTCAATTTCTAAACTCAAGCTTTCAGAAAGGCTCTGTAGACCATGATCTGCAAAATACCATCCGGGACAACCTTTATCTGAGAACTGTGCCAGTGACTACCCGACCTCCTCGTAATGGTGAAGTGAACGGTATTGACTACACCTTCTTAACGAACGAGGAATTTTTTCAGTTGCAAAGAAACGGGTGCCTTTTGGAAAGCGGAATCTACGAAGGTACGCCCTTTTTCCCACAGCATTAACTTCAAGAAAACTAAACCAATGCTCTCAGCCTTTTCATTCTTTGCTTGCATAATTCAGCTCAGGTTACTTGAAAGGAGAAATTTTAAATGCATGAGTTGGTTTTCAAACCATAATTTTTCTCGTGCTCTTGTCTATTCTATTATTTATCACACATATTTTTAAGGCTGGATCTTGGACATGTTATCGACTTCTCAATTTTTCCACTACTTAGTGGTATTATTGATACCTTGTGGTCATCTTTGCAAGTAAAATTAAATGTTACCTATGACTGTTCACGACCAGTCATTAATTCTCAAATATTTTGATTTCTCTGGCCCCTAGTAATCTTCAAATGTTAGTCTGTCGCGTTTTCTTCATTTTGATTTGTAAACCTTGGCATCTCACTCCAGCGTCCGGTCCAATCACATGAATTTAAATGATGGAAGCTTAGATTGTTGGTCCTTATTACTCCCAGAGAAAATATGTTTTAGAGACCCTGCACTAACACCAAGTGGACGCATTTCTGTCAAACGAAACTAAGCGTCATAGAGAAGCTTTGCGAGTATAGGATGGAACGAGCATCGCTAATCCAAGCCCCCCTCTCCCTATGGCGCTTAGTTCTGTTTGATAGAAGTACGTCCTAGTAATCAAATGGAGTGAAACAAAAGTTAAATTTGGAGGTCAATATCATTTTTTGCCTAATGATGATTAGAGAGCAACTTCTTCAGCAAGAAGTCATGTAAAATTAGCCTGTTGATAACATATGAATGCCTAGGTAAGCATTTTGCCTGGAGATTTTTTGCAAATAAGATTAAGATTTCTCACCTTTTTGGTTATCAGGCTTTAACCTTCAAAAGTTACTTTTACACTCAAAGCAAGCTGGCAGTCCTAGGTCTTTAAAACATATCGTCTCTGGTTACTTCAGTGCTTTAGATAAGTCCCAGGTCATCTTATAAATCAACCTCAAAACACAACCTTTTCGATCTTACGCTCTTTTTGAAATGATGTGGCTGTCAATGAACAGGGTATTTTAGACTAAAAAAATCAATACAGTGATCTAAACTTCAATGCTCAGAGGAGTTTTAAGAACACATGTGCATATGAAAATTTAATTTAACTGGCGTTAAAGTGTTCAATGTTAGCAGTCTAAAGAATGGTAGAATTAAACCTACCAGTTGTGTTTAACTTTCAAAAACCGCCTGGTCTAAATACAATATCACACATCGCACAGTTGTATATATTACTAAAATTGCTCACAACATAGTATTAAAAACATTTAAAGATATAGCCTGTTGAAAATTTGAATTTGAATTTTTTGACCCTACTTGATATAGATTGCCTCTCTACAAAAATTGTCTTTATGCACACTGGTGTCGTTTCTCATTGACAGGCACGCATTCATAACTCCAGAAATCATTCTTGACCCAATACTGCACATCTTACCACCAGATTATTTATTTTTTCCATTAAAATCTAAACACCAAAAACCATAAAGTCTCTTTACTTCAGATGGTACCATGTAGGTGAATAAAATTATAATTTCAAAGCTCTTTTTGTGTTCCTCTCTCCTCTAAATTTTATCCTGACTGTTCCAGGGAACCACTATGGGACTCCGAAACCTGCCAAAGATTCTCATTTGATAAATTGTCTGGGTGACGATAGCAATAGCAATGTAAAGTCTGCGTTCGGGCTTATACCTGGTGCTCATCCGAGTTCAGAAGGCAAACGCAAGCGAAATCGCTCAAACGTAGAAGCCATGGCATCAAAAAATCTAGATGCCAACTCTCAACCAATGGGGGAAAATGGTATGGAATATTTTTCAAGTTACAAATGAATTAGTATCTATCTCTTTTTTAATGCAATGCATTTAAAGAGAAGAAGTCTTAAAAATTGTAAGGATAAGAGCTTTTCCGTCAGACAATGGTTGGATCTAGCCAGAATCAGCCTAACCACATGAGACTTGTCTAATGAGTCAGGAGCACCCAGTTTTTGTAAATTATTTTTCTGGAAGTAAAGAGTAAACCAAGCTACTAAGAGTTTTTATAACCTTAAATGGCAAAGAAAACCCATTTTGAGAATGCCAAAAATAAAGCCTGATGAAACTGTTATTCTTGGCGGCTTCTGATGATGTAAGTAGCATGGCTGGGTAATTGTGTTTGCTGATTCGGTGAATTTAGCTTCAGGTAACGTCTTGTAAACTGCCATCCAACTCAAATGTTGGCTTTTAATCGGTAGGATTTTTATTAGCCTTATCTCCTCTTAGAAATTCATTTTCGAAATTTTAAGTAAACTTGTTTTTTATTAACAAAATTCAACTTTAGAATAACTGTAGGTATCACAACCTTTCTCAAAACAATTTTTTTTTTTTTTTTTTTTTTTTTTTTTTTTTTTTTTTTTAAATCGTTTTTCAATGTAAACATGCAGTTAAAAAGGACCTATTTACTAGCATGGGTTAATATTATGTGATTTGGTTAAAACTTAGCAAAGGGTCTATTTTGATCAAGTAGATGGATCCCACTCCATTCCAGACCAAAAAAATTCACTTAGTAAATTCTCTCATGTTTAATGGGCCACCCTACTACCTCATGCATGAACGTAAATGGCATTTGGCGAGTTAATTTGTGAACAATTGCTAGTTTGAGTTGATAATTCAAGATTCTTCTGATCACATAGTCATCTGATTGTTTCTTCCATTCAAAGATGATCCCTTAGCATTCCTGATGTCCTCTTCTTTTTTTCATTTCCAGACGATGTAGTCGGGCAACAAGAGAAAATGTCTCCCCCCAACTACTACCATCATTCGGTCACCGACAATTCAGATCCGCTTCTGATGGATCTTGGTCCTTTGCCTCCAAAGTGGGAGAAAGCTTACACAGAGAAGGGAGAAGTTTATTTCATAGAGTAAGTATACTAGAATCGTACCACATTATGCAAAGAGAAATTACAATTTCTGGCTCATCTGTAAAAAGACTTATGTGCTCAGGGAAACTAATGTTACTTACATTGTTTCTAAATTAAGACAGGGATCGGAGTGTCTGCCTAATCGCAAACTGTACTGCTGCGCCAAGGAAGAACACTGTATGAACATTCGAGAATTGCCTAATTTCCCTTGATAAAACATGTATTTTTGACAACATTTATGCATATTTTCCGTTGAAATTTTTGGATATTTTAGATTAAATTGCGAACAAAATTGTCTGAAACTTTCGGAAAATAATATTCAGAATTTTCCCAGTAAATTCGGTTTTTATCGGAGGAAACTTGACAATACCTGAAGGCTCATACGGCGTTTTTCCTAAGCACGGCAGTGTAGTCCAGTTGGTCATTAAGCCAAGCATTGAAGCCCTAGGATATGTGTTATCCGTTCAAAACCTTATGCAAGAAACAATGCACGCAAAGAGGAGGTTGGAAATCAGTTTGTCTCATAAAATACTGAAGTGGAAGAAAGACTTAATCATATGGCTGTCAAGTGTTTGAATTTAATAATGTTTGATGACAAACTTCTCATTAAATCCAATGAATCACAAGATATTAGTGCAGAGGATAAGAAAGAAGGTAACCCCTCCTTAAGTCATGGCAAGATTCAGTTTGAGGAGCTTCTCATCAGTATTAACCAGGTTGCCAGTCAGGGAATACCGAGAAAACCGGAAAATGTCAGGAAAAATGACGAAAGTGTCCGGGAAAAATTGTCAAGTTACCTTTATTTGTTTTGCAGAATGGGTTTGATGTTTCAAACAACTTTGCCCAAAAACAATTTCAAATTGTGTCTTTTCAACTATCCGGTATATCTTCTAGGTATTGGCAAGAAATTCTACCTAAATGTGTAAGGGAAATCCAGTTTCTAAATTCTGTGGCAATCCTGTATCCAAAAACAGTCTACCAAAAAGAATTTCAAAAGAGCACTGAAAAATTCACCAACCTCATACGGAAAGTTCTTGACTCATTTTAACTTTATTCTCTCTTTTTCTTCAGCCATAACTCAGGAACATCACACTGGTTGGATCCAAGACTGTCGAAATTCCAGAAAAAGTCCCTGGAAGACTGCTCTGACGATGAGCTGCCCTACGGTTGGGAGAGAATAAACGATCCACTGTACGGCACGTACTACATAGATCATGTCAACCGACAAACGCAGTACGAAAATCCAGTCATACAAGCAAAGTCAGCTAAGGGCATTGGTTTGTATAGAATTCATCCCAATTTTATCCGTAATGCACCAGATATCTTATTTGTGAGAGTCCATGGTAAAAGATAATTTAATCGCTGCATGAAAATATTTTTTTAGAACAATTCTTTTTTTTTTATCGACAGAAGAAATCAGTGATGATTTTTCGGTTACATTTAATTGGATCGCATTTAACAGAAGAGAACCAGTGCAATTGCAGTGTCATTAGAATCAAACACCTTCATTTTTATTTGAAAAATATCTCGAACAACAAATAGTTCTCGCTTTTCCACCCAAATATTGTTAATTGTTAAGGAAAATAATCTTGTTAATTTTAATGCGTGCATAGGTATATTTAGTATTTTGTAAAGAAAAGAAAAAATTGAACGTTTTTGAAAACATTACAACTGTGAGGGTTTCCTTCTGCTAAATGCGATCCTATTGTGCCGATGACTGCGTTCAGGGTGATCATGTAAGTGCTTTTAGAAGGCGTAAGATTGCATTGTAATCTGGTAATTTTAAGACTGAAACTACAAGCCAATGGATTTTTATCCGAATGAGACATTTTGACCCAAAAACTTTAAACTGCCAAAATTTTAGTTTGATTTTTTGCTTCATGGTGAAATGAACTGTTGGTGAGCAAGGTAGTCGCTTTCATTCGTAATGAATTAACTTAATCAACTCTGATGGAACCAAGTTCACCATTTTACGTTTAAAATAGTGAATTCACAGATAAAACCTAAGTAGCTTCATCTTTTTCATTCACTAATTGGGGAATCGGTGGCAGTGGAATTCAGTAGCTCTCACAATTCTAATTTCTTTCAACAAGTATTCTTTGCATTTTTGGTGAAACTTTCGTAAAAATAATTGTGTATGCATGGGCATTTGATCTCTTGTGCAACCTGAATGAAGATAGTCATTGTGTGGGGAGCATATCCCGCCTTTATGATCCATACGTATCTGAAATGCTCTCAGTCTTGTTGTGATACCGCAATGCGTAGCGTAGACTGAGGTATTTCTGAAACGGACTGAGGAAAGGACTTTCCGGGAAGAGGTGGTGGCAGCGAGAGGTGACTAAAGGAAACAGCACTAATTTACCTTTGGATGAAACGAGCCCCCTTGAGAGAAACCCCTTGAGAGGTCCTATAAACGGGGCAAAGACGCAGGCGAAGCCACAGCTCCCTTCGGCCACGAATTCCCATACGCTCTGTCCGAACTCTCTCGACCCCGCAATGCGGCGTTCCCCGATCGCGAATCCTCGCTAGTACGCACATGCGTTGTTTGTGGTGTGTATCAGCAAAAAAGACGGAGAGTAGCGTTGTCAAATATCCTCCTAAAATCGAAAGATTTTATGGCGGATATTCGGAAATGAATACTTCTCCGACAATAGCAATAGCCACACGCTACACACGGTTATTTGGCAAAACTCCTCAGTGGACTACTTGATAGGATGAGGACCAAAGCACTTTGAGATATGCTTTCTTATCTTAAGTTCAAGCAGATTATGTTAAACTCATCAAAGAAGTTCAAAATGAACTGATGAATGAGAAATTAGTGTTACTTGTTTACATTAGAGTCCTTCAATTTAAATTTTCTGTTCATCGGAAAACCAAAATCAGTGTACATCAAGTCGATAAGCAGAAGCTGCTTTACCATTCTACTGGTCAGTTATGTTGGGATTTTACAAAAATTCCTTCCCTCTCTAAAATTTTTATCTGTGATTAGATGTTAAGATAAATTCATTGCCTTGAGTTATTATTACTGTGGAATTAGTTTAGCGGCCAATGTGAGTTAAGTTGGTATATAGTTATTTTGTGAAGTAGTAAGTTTCAACTGACAAACACAGAGAACACTGATTTCTCACAAATGAGTTGAATTGCAACATTTTGAATGTTTCCACTGTGCTCAATGTAAAATCGCTTAATGTCGCAACTTATTAAGTAGTTCATTGAGGACCAGAGCTCCTCTTATATTTGGACAGTTCTAATGAGAATCAGCCAACATACATCAAACATTGTTTCATTTTCTGGATAAAAAAAACCAAGCAACATTCTAACTCAAAATGTTGTTAATATACTCTTTCCAATCTCTGGAAAAATTCACAGAAAGGCTGAATTCATTATTTAGTTTGGTTCTCTATCAAAAGATGGAGCATCAGAGAAAAGACGACAGTGTGAAAAGCATTTAGGCTGAATTTGATCAAATCTGTCCACTCAATCAGGAACAGTATCTTCATTCAACTTCATTGATTAACAGAGCCAGCTTGTAACATTCCACTACCATAAATCCTCCTATCCTGCGCCTAATATTGCCTGTTAACTCTGCGATACAGGTTCTAGAACAAACGATGTTTCTAACAATGGTGAAAATGGGACAGCCTCAAGAAAACATCTAAATAATGGCTCACTGACCAGCCACTCGGATCAGGGGTCCGTGAACAATAATAGCAATTTTTCAGTGAAATCCAAGAGTGCAAGTGGTCAGTACGCTCGTTATTTTTTATTACATGTCTTGCATTGCCTTATATTTTTGTGAATGAATGCCTAATAGAAATTTTTGTATGTAAAATCATTTTGGTTAAAAAAATTGTACTTGCTCCTTTATTTTAACAATATTTCTTTAGAATATTTTATGCAATGGGCTTGTTGCAATCGTTTGCTGGAGCGAAAATAAGAATTGTTTCTATCAGTAAATGCCCCAAGAATCAGGATGAGCGCATTGGCAAAGTTTGACAATCTGGGTAAGAAATCCGTGTTTTTTGAGCTTCCCGCCTCTAAAACGATTCCTAGGCACAGGTGAACATTTCATCAGAGGAGTCGTTCCATTCAACCCTTTTGCAATAGCAATACCCAACGTAGCCACTGCACGCAAATTGCAATGGGGAGCACAAGGTCAACCAAAGCGCATCCTTATCAATGCGAAGAAATCGTGAATATATAAACGCTGGGTTGTTTACGAATGGTTAGAATCTCGTTCAAGCGCTTGTGTTTTGGCGGATTGGTGTCTGTCATGTTGAATATTGTGTAATATCCTAGTGCGCAAGGGTTAGATACAGAATGGCATCTCTATTAAAATGTTCGCCTGTGGCGTAGTATTGTTTTTGAAGCAGGAAGCTCAAAAAAACGCAAATTTCTTACGCAAATTGTGAAGTTAGGAGTGCATTTCAAACTTTGCCAATGCGCTCATTGTCATTTTTGAGACATTTATTGATAGGGATAACTCCAATTTTTGCTCTAGCAAAAGTTTGCAACAGGCCCATTATTTATAAAACACTTTAATCACTGTGCACATTTTTATACCTCAAGACACAGTAGAAGCTCGATTTACCAGTCACATGTTATTTTTCAGGTCCGCACCATTTGCAAAGAAATAAATTGTTGATTATTGATGAAACTTTACTAACTCTTCGAGTTTTGACTGGCAAAATCCTCAGTTGTCTAATTTTGTCTTTTTTCGCTACACAGCATAGAGGAAGTAAAGTCAATGTGGTCTATCCCCCTCACCCTTTAAACTAAAATGTTCCCCCCACTGAAGATCTTTCTCTCTGATTTTGGGGCACTTTCTACCCTGGAACACCCTTTTTCCCTCCCTATGAAAAATATTTGATCTCAGACCCTCTCCTTGGAAAGGCTCTAGCCACACTGCTATTGCCGTGAGTCTTATATTTTAACATTTTATACACATCTGTTTGATTTTAGATCTAGATGAGGGAAGTCCAGATATTCAGAAATTTATTGCTCTCAGTCTTCGTGAAAATTTTCTTTGCCCCTAAGTACGTATACCCCATAAATTGTGATGCCTCTTAAATTTTAAATTTATGTCATCCAGATGAACCCTATTTCACGCTGAACCCAAACGAATTGATGGGAGAGAGGATACATTCAACTTTAGTCAAATCTTTGCGAGGCTTGGGTATCACAATTGTCGGTGGTGATGACTCCAAAGAAGAATTCTTGCAGATCAAATCTGTCGTGCCAAATGGCCCTGCATGGCTGGAAGGAAAATTGCAGACTGGTAAGTTCATCTTAATGAATTTCTAGTGAAATATAGTTATCTAACCTTCTTGATTTACAAGTGAAACCTGAATCCAATTTTGATCAAGTGAAAATAATGTTAAAAACGTACCAACAAATTAAGAATTGTGAAAATACCGGAGGAGCAGGACATTTCAAGCCATCACAGGCTCATTTCTGTCTGTAAAAATACAAAAATTGAGAAAACAGTCATCTAGTAAGTACCAGAGAGTATGGAAGGTTAGAGGCCAGACTGGATAGGGAAGAATTGAAACAGAAGTTGAGCTGTGAGCAAGAAGTTGCGTATGTTAGCGCGAGAGTGCGCGGCGAGCAGGATTCTCATACTACCGCGCTGATTGGCCAAGCAAAAGTTGCGCTGTATGAAAAATTGCCCACGTGGAGGTTGTCTGGCAGCAACATACCCGCCACCAGTCTCTGGAAAACAATAGAAAATAGTGGTTGTGTACGTTGCCAGCGAGCGCTTCTGTTTCAATTACTTAGCATTGAGTCGGGCCTCTAACCTTCCATACTCTCTGGTTAGTACTCAACTTCAGCTGTCAATAAGTAGCCATTGGCATTTAGTAAAAATGCCACTATCAAACCTCCAAACAAACAATACTGAAGGACATAAATAGACAACACCTTCTTCTCTGTATCTGCCTGCATAATATATATAAAAATTCATGCCCCCCTCACTGATCAAATTGTTGACAGTAGTTTCATACTTTTCCATAAATGCAGTTTTTCCCAAATGAGAATCTAGGTGTAAGGAAGTTTCCACCCCTAATTTGTCTATCCAGGACTTAACGCTATGTTTAATTCTGAAGTATTTTGTGATCTCCAAGCAAATGAAGTAGAGCTACTGTGAAAGGAAGGGAAACATTGAAAGGTTTCATCTTAATGGGCCTGTTGCAAACTTTTGCTAGAGCAAAAATAAGAGTTGTTCCTTATAGATAATGCCTCAAAAATCACGATGAGCGCATCGGCAAAGTCTGAAATGCACTCATAACTTCACAATCTGCGTAAGAAATTTGCGTTTTTTTAAGCTTCCCGCTTCAAAAACGATACTACGGCACAGGTGAACATTTTGTTAGAGGAGTCGCTCCGTCGTCGGCGATATTCATCATGGCCGACGCTTGCGCGCAGTTCCGCGCGTAATTCGAGGAGAGTTCAAGGTCAATCAATTCGGGCGTGGAAAATATGAACGTTAACACGCCGATTGTTATCTGGTCTAATTCAGTTCAGGTGTTATCTCGTCCCATCACACGTGTTTTGGCGGATTGACGTCGGCCATGATGAGTATTGCCCACGATGGAACGACTCCTCTTACAAAATGTTCACCTGTACCGTAGTATCGTTTTTGAAGCGGAAAGCTCAAAAAACCGCAAATTTCTTACGCAGACTGTGAAGTTATGAGTGCATTTCAGACTTTGCCGATACGCTCATCGTAATTTTTGAGGCATTATCTATAAGAAACAACTCTTATTTTCGCTCTAGTAAAAGTTTGCAACAGGCCCATTCTTCCGTAAAGTGTTCATCAGAAATGAATTACTTGGTTTGTTACAGGTGATGTTTTAGTTTATGTAAATGACAAGTGTGTATTAGGGTACACACATCACGATATGGTTTCAGTATTTCAGTCAATAGCTCCGGGAGAGACAGTCAAACTTGAAGTATGTCGAGGGTACCCGCTACCTTTCGATCCAAATGATCCCAATACTGAGGTTGTAACAACAGTAGCAGTTAGTGCGCCAGGTAATTATTTCTTCACTATTATGATTATTGTCAAGTCAAATTTTTCACCGATTGCTGTTTTTGGTTTTTTAAGAAATATTCTGGATTTCTTTTTACATTTAACGTTGAATTCAAAACATAATTTAATGCTGCAGATTTTGCTGCAACATTAGCCAACTTATCTAGCGCTGATCAGCTTTGATAAATAACTAGTAGTGGCTGGACATTTTTCTGTCGTAATCTGGAGCCACAAGGAGGAAAAAGGAACGAATGGAACATTTCTGTTTTAGAAAATGAATATTAAGATTTTATTTTGCCAGAACTGGAAGTAAAGTGATAAGGCAGCAACATCGATCAACATCGGTGATATCGAACACTGAGCATCTTAATTGCTGTGTTCAAATTCATTTATGTTAGTTTTTAGGAAGGATACTTACATTTAAATTTTCAGGAAATATTCTGAATTTATAAAGAAAAAATAAATGGAATTTCATGCAGTAACCAGTATGGCTGAAAACCTGGGATGCCAGGGAAAGACTTGAAAAAATCAGGGAATTTCAGGAAAAATAGTAGGAAATCAAGTTAATGTGATTGAGAACTTGCTTGCATTTACCAATCAAATAGCCCTTTGGTGCTCTTCATTGCCCATAAGGTGAAGGATCTTATTGATAGTTTAGCGTAGCTTGATTGTCTCTATGTTCATTAGTATTGACAAACAGGGCACACTGCATGAATCAGGTCAAAGTTATTAGTTTAAAAAGTGTTTTGTTGTTATGAAAAAAGGAAAAGTTTTTGTTGAAAGATTAAGGACTTCTAAGAGCTAAGAACTTTCTTGACATCAAAAAGTCAGCGAATTTTTTCCTTTTTGAAGAGTCAGAAAAAAGACAGAGAATTTGAAGATCCACAAATTATAGTCTTCCCAAATGACCATAATTTGTTAACCCGCAAAACATCTATAAAATGGAGAGATTTTGAACCAATGCGCAGTTTTGATGCTCATTGGACAGAATTAATGGAAATTATTTAAAGTTTTTTTTTATCAAAATCAATCCTATACTTCCCCTAAATTTATATCATCATCCTTGAAAACCACTCGCTAAATGTCCATTCGGGAAGTAGAACCGAAATTTTGCAACGGAGAAGTTAGTTGCAGAGGGCATGAAAAAGTTAGCGAACCTTCAAAGAAATAACCAGTGCGTTTTATTGATGATTATCAGTAGTTAAGGTTCCTTTTTTAATTTGGATTCTTTTTTCCATGTCAGAAACAGAGAACAACAGCTCAAATGCATTCATAGAACAAGATATGTACTTGAAGAATAATTTAATGCGAGGGAATGTTCATAACAATGCAAATGATCTATCAAATCACTCTGTGAAATCGGTGCCTGATCTTTACGCATCAGAAAAAATGCTGAACATTGAGCGGCCGAACAGCACGGACTTGATTCTAGAAGAAGATGAAGGCAAACCAGAATATTTAACAATGCAAATTGTTAAAGGTGCCATGGGGTTTGGTTTCACAATTGCTGATAGTGCCTATGGACAAAAGGTAAGTGATTTTTCTAACTTTTCTGATGTTTCTACTCTATGTAAATCAAACTCATACACAAAACTTTTCAAATATGCACTTACCTAATATCATCAGATTTCTCTCTTAAATTGTACCCAAAAAAAAAAAAAAAAAAAAACGGAAATAGCAAATTTGTTGAAAAGAAATCTTGGATTATTTTGTTTGTTCACTTTGTCAATCGTAATGTCAATCAGTATCATTTCAAATAAGTATGTTATTTAATTTATGGTCAGTCTAATTCGCTGAAAAGTATCTTATAGAATTATCAGTAGTTTTCTCCCGAAAATATTTTTAACTTTCACACAAAGCGAACTGAAAGAGTGCAAGGAGGCACTTAAAAAACAAAACTCTAAGTAATGGAAGACACAGTGAATTTAACATAGTAGTCAAAATCATGGGAAACGAAATCTTAAGAGAAAGCCTCTGGAAGTTTTTATTTTGCAGGAACTACAGGCTAAAATTCAAATTTTTGGCAGCTCAATGGAACGACATTTTGCAATTGGGAACTACAATATCTGGCTCATCCGTAAAAACACTTAAGTGCATAGGGAAACTATTAGTACATACGTTGTTTCTGAACTAAGCCACAATTTGAAGTCCTTAATTGCAAAATGTAGTCCAATTTGTTCCATTATTGAATTATGCCTTTGCAAACTCGCCAAGAGCTCAGGGACAGAATTATGCTCCTTTTTTCTATTTTTTTTCTTGCTTTCAAACTGAGGGAACCAACATATTCAATTTTTTCAGGTGAAGAAAATTCTAGATCGTGACAGGTGTGAAAACCTAATGGAAGGAGACATTCTTGTCGACATAAACAACATCTGCGTCCGGAACATGTGCCACGCGGAAGTTGTCCAAGTACTAAAAGACTGCAATCGGAACGAGGAAGCTTCGATCACCGTTCAGCGGGGAGGGCCCAGGCCTCGGAAGCCCGATCTCAAGCCAGGACCCTATCGAAGCAAAACGCCCACCGTAGACTTCTACAGCTCAAGACCCAAAGAAATAGTCACAAGTAGACCAAAAACTCCACTCATCGACACGAGGTCGAGGCCGAAAACGCCGACGAGAACCGACCAACCGCCCACGCAGACGGACATGTACATCATGGAAAATAGCAATAGTCATCATAATTATTCTCGTAGTTACAGCCCCGGAAACGAGCTGGAACATAACGAGAATAACTGGAGTAACAAAATCCCGGGTCACCACAACGATGATCTGATGTCTCGCGTGTCTCCACACGGAACGTATTACAATGGATATTTAGAGCCCTCGGAGAGGAGTTACTGCCTAGATCTGCCTAACCAGCAAGCTGCATACTATAATGACTGTTTCAAAAAGAGGAAAGAGACTACCAGCTTTGAGAACGAGCAACCTTTGTCTAATTCAGATCTGAGGTAAGGCGATGATTATTGTGAGGTATCAGAAAAACTCTATTTGTCAATTTGAGAAAAAGAAAAAAATTGCCATCAAAATTAGAAATGAAAACCACCTCAAATTCCAAATTCTTTAAAGCACTGATTTTTAAATTTTGCCGCTTCTTTATGTCTATCTATTTTTATTCAAATGAGGACAAATTTTAACGCTTTACCTCATTTCTACCAATTTTTCATGGTTTTCCTATGGTCACCTCTTTTCCTATCTTCTCAGGTTTGGAGTATAAAACTCCAAAATTTTCCTCTTTTTTTTTTAAACTTCAAATGTGCACGAATTTAAGTGCATCCGTCAAAAATGTTGCGTCAAAAACTCTTCCTAAATATTCTGGTTTCAAAAATTCGTGGTCATAAGAAAACATTTTGAACTTAAAAATTGTCAATTAACTTTCTCTTTAACATTGAGGCCTAAAGAGGAGTAAAATTTCAAACCGCTTTTCCTTGATTCAAACCTGGTGGGACTTGTGCGTTTCTGTAAAAACTGGTCCATTTCATGTGTTTGACTGATGGTAATACTAATACTATTTTATAAAAGTGGATTAAGGCACAGACTCTACATTTTTAAGTGAATCGGTAATTTGATTTGTGGCTTTGGATCTAATCTTTATAACTAAAGCTGAATTTATCAATTTTGGCAGCATTTCGTCCTCACTTTTTTCCTTATTTGTCCATGTAGGTACGTCGACCAAGATATGGGTTATCAGAACAACGTAGGTATCAATAGGGTCGAAAACCATCCTAGGCTTCATGGCGGTGATTTTGTAGAGTCAACTATCACATTGATCCGGCAGGATACTGGATTTGGCTTTCGCATAGTCGGAGGAACTGAAGAAGGCTCGCAGGTATTGATTTTTATAGTTTCATCAGAAATTACTGTTAGAATATTGAAGAGGAATCGCTCTGTCGTAGATTTCTTGCAAATACTGGCTTCATTGGTGCTCAATCATTTATTTTCAAATGCTTTTTAGGAAATTATTTTTCAGGGTTGCCACAGTTGGGGAAAACTGGGAAATGTCAGGGAAAATTTGTTAAATCACCTTCATCTGCTTTCTAGAATGGGTTTGAGATTTTGAACAAGAAATTTTACGTGAAGACTACTTTCAATTATGCCTTCTTAACCATCAGTCATATCCTCAATTGTCAGGTAATTTCACCAAAATGTGTCAGGGAAATGTCAGGGAATTTCAGTTTCTAAATTCTGTGGCAACCCTGACGTTTACTCTCTTGCTCCCCTAGGGTAGAGGAAGTATTGTCATCCGCCAAGAAAAGAAAAAAAAGAGGTTGAAATTTCATCATTCCTAGACGTTTTAAGGTCCCTGGAGTCAAAATAACCATACTTGAAAAAATGTTTGTCTGTCCGTCAGGCGTCCCCCAAATCTGTGTACAGCCATATGGATTGCATTTTGCTAAAAGGAACCACTGGCATTGCAATGTTGCTAAGATTGTGCAACTTCTTTTGACTTGGAGGAAAAACCCAATTATCCATTAATTGTTTCTATTTTACTCGCTAAAAGCTGTAAATTTAAGACAAAAATTACCATCTAAATTTCATAGTTTTTCACGATTTCCGCAATTTTATCGCAAAAGATGAAGTTGCACAATCTTAGCATCATTGCAATGCTAGTGGTTCCTTTTTGCAAAATGCAATCCATATCTCAGAATCTATCGGTTCAATTTCATTCAAAATTTGCATTTTTTGATATTTATGGTCTCCTTATCCACGTCAAACGATTTTGGGGTATGCTCAAANGGGGGGGGGGGGGGGCGGCTAGAGGCGAAGTTGATTCCTCGCAAAATCACACAGGAAGCTCATTTTGAAGGACTGAAAATTTTGTAAAATGCCTTTACTTCTTTTAAAGTGGGCATCAAGCACACCACCCGAGTCATTAATTTAAGTTCCTGAGAGATCTTTGGACTAAACTCAAAATTCAAGCTATACAAAGCACAAAAAAAGGTACTTGTGTAACAACATTCGCATTGATTCATCATAAGGTTCATCATCAGCATAAACTTACCTGATCCTATGTTCACTAAAGGCAACTAAATGATCCCAACGACTCGAAGAGATTGATGAGCATTGGGTGAAATTATTGAGCATTGGTATGTAAACATGCCAGTAATTGGGACGTTTGAATAGAACAGGGTTGCCACAGTTAGAAACAGGGAACACTGGGGCATTTAAAAAAGGCAGTGTACAGAGGGAAGTGTTAGGGGAAATGACGCATGAGGCCGAAAAAATTATCTGATCACCTTAATTTACTTTTGCAGAATGTGTTTGATGCCTCAAATTTCAAATGTAAAGTGTTTGCGTTCGGAAGTGACGGTTTTTAAGTATTCTGCTCAGCACCAAATTTCAGGAAACGTCACCAAAAGTTTTGGAGGAAGCCTGGAAAAATATCTGGGAATTTCATTTTTAACTTCTGCGGCAACCCTGACAGAATCGAACCATGCCGATCGTTTGGCATGGAATAATTCCATTTCCGATTGATTTCGAACAGTTCACTTGGACAATTCATTCAGTATCATCTCACCCTTTAAGTTTTCTCAGATACGTAGTTATATTTTTGCAACTTACTTTCTTGTTTTGATCTTAAAACTATCAAATTATCTCTATTTTGTGTTGGATAGCCTTTAAATCTGCTTTCTCTGTTGTAGGTCTCTATCGGTCATATCGTCCCAGGAGGTGCAGCAGACTTGGACGGACGCCTATGCACGGGTGACGAAATAGTGAGCGTCGATGGTCAGTCAGTCATCAATACATCACACCACCATGTAGTTCAGTTGATGGCAAAAGCAAGTCGAGTCACGTTAGGCATTCGGAGACGAATATGCTTACCTGGTCAAGGTCAGTCCTTTTTTCCATTTCATACAAGCTTTGCATATTAATGCATCTCCAACCCTCGAGAGGAGAGGTCCTGAAGAAAAAGTGAGAATAATGTAGGACACCTGTTAATGTTCTTGTTCGCACAATCCAAATCAAGCACTTTAAATGCTTAAATTTTCTCTCCTGCAACAAGAGCGGTAGGATTGAAAAAAGGAAGAAAGTCCAACTGTTGTTTTTGACTTGATAATAATCCGTTGAATATTTGCCGCAGCAGTTGAAATGAAGCAAGTTTCATTTGAACGAAGGTCACCTGGAAATTTTCAAAATCGAATGTAGATTTTTGGAGTGTAGCCAATTTTTCCTCCTTCCTCCCCTTTTTTTATTTATGCTCCATTTGATTTGCGTCTAAAGTTTTAAAGATTGAAAAGATTGCACAATCTCAGATGTGTTGTTTCTGTCTCTCTAGTCCATTCTCCTTGAATTTCAAATTTAAAATCTGATCCATTCATGACTGAATTAATTCCAAAGTAACTTATCTACCCCACCTTTGCGCATTGTCGATTTTTTAATATGTTTAATAGAACTATGTATCTTTTGTCAAATCTAATCGTGCTAAATTGAAACATCTATTGACCAACACTATTTTTGCCCTTTTCCCTGATTGGCCTTGCTTTTTGCAACCTGCTTCAGTTTTGTTTATGCACAAAGCCAATATTTTAATTACTTTTTTATCTCTTTCATTTTCTCAGATATTCAGTATGACACCATGAATGTTTATCCGTATGATGTGACGGTGAAAAGGAGTGAGAATGAAGGCTTCGGCTTTGTTATAATTTCATCTTTGAACAAAGCTGGTTCTACAATAGGTAAGTGTACTCTGTTCACTCGATATTGGCCAAGGCTTATTGGAAGCAGATAAGTTTCTCCTTTTTTTACTGTTTCCTCTATTTTTTTTTTTTCCTCTGACGTAAAAGCGTAACTGTTTTTTAAGTTGAGCCTTATTGTCTGCATAACTCTATCCTGTCGAGGCTAACATAGGAATATAGTTGCGACCTCACGTCAGGAACGATGAATTGACGCTTCCAGCAGAAATAAATATAAATGTGCCTGTGCCTCAATTGTCAATGTATCTCAGTAAGTTTCTTTTTTGTGCTGATATGGAAAGAAGGAAATGCAGAAGTTCCCCCTTAAACGACAAACTCTAATATAAAAACAATCTATTGATCTTCAGATCAGTTCCTTTGCTTCCTATTTAATTTTATACTTAATTTTGTGGAAGTACACTAATTCAGTATAATTTTGTAGCGCAATCGTTTTCACACTGATAAGTACGTCGATAAGTTTGTAAGAGGAAGTTTATCAATTGAAAACCTGAAGTTGTAGTAATTGTTTCGTCTCATTAACTATAATGTTAAGCGTGCAATGTTGCTGGCATGGATAAAAGTAATCAGCCTATCATAGTGTCAAAAAGTCACATGATCTACTTTCAGTGCTCTTGCAGCGGTCCTTTTGGATTTAACAATCAGAAACTCAATTTTTAGGTTATGCATACATCAATGATAAACATATGGTGCGGGGCATATGTTAGTCATCGATGTGATTAAGGCTGTTTATTGATTTAAGTCGTACCTTCAGCACAAATTGCTTACCCCTCAGAATTATCATCCCTGAACTTGAAATTAGTACCTGTCAATCAGAACTGATAATGTTCCATGCATCGGCCACAATTTTTCTGATCGGTTTTTAGTGCAGTTTCAAGCGTCTAATCCTTTCTCTGCGTTTTCATTAGGTCGAATAATTGAAGGAAGTCCGGCAGAAAGATGCGGGCAGTTACACTTAGGAGATCATATTTTAGCAGTTAATGGAGTTAACATAATGAGTCTGCATCACGGTGATATTGTCAACCTCATCAAAGATTCAGGCTACTCTGTGACTTTGACCATCGGGCCTCCTTTAGGTAAGACATATATTCTTGTGCAAAATGTTCTTGAGAAGATCTTTAAGTCGGATAAACAAGGAGAAAGTAAAAGTTCCTACTGGACTAAGATAGAAATTCCATGAAAAAGATGGATTTGAAATTTCAGGCTATTCTTCATGACATTGCAGGGTTGACGTGGCTACAGCCTTTGAGTCCCCGTACAAAGTGGCAACCCCGCTAATGTATTTGCTCCCTATCTACACATTCAGAGTTTGATTTGGTATAGGTATGGACTCTCATCATTACGAAGACAATCCGCTCTATTTTAACCTGAATTTAGAGAACTTAGAGAGCTTTTTTTTGAGCCTCGGAGTTAGTTTTAGAGAAAACCAGCAGCACCATCGTGTTTCTCATGAAATTTTACCTACAGTTTAGTACTTGAATGGTAATCAGAGCTTCATTGCAGACAATTTGTAATGATCTTGTAGGAAGCTCTTTGATGTTTTGCAAGATCTTGTAGGATCTTGAAATAGTATTTTAATGAAAATCTGTCTTAATTTTTTCAATGCTTCTCTTAAATTTATGAAAAAAATTTAATCAACTAAAGTCAGCAACAAACACTTCCTTTACAAGTGTATATTTTTTTAAAATAATTTTTTCTTTTCTTTACAGATGATGCATCCAGCACTGCGTCAATGACAGCATCGCATAGGGTAAGACATAATCTTAGGTCCTCTGTAAAATTCACTCTTTTGGAGCTCTTATTGACTCGAAGGAAACCATCAAGTTTAAATCAAAGACTATGAGCATTTTTCCTGATCTTTTTAGAAATATCATTAATTTTTTTGTATTAAATCTATGCTTTTAGCTTTGTCAAGTGCGATACATTTTGAACATAGAGTAGCTTCAATCAATTTTCCCGTGAATCGTTTGTAAAATACGTGCATTTTTAAAAATACGTAATTTCATCCAATAGGTAATAAACAGGGGTGCCGTAGTCAAGGAATACCAGGAAATGTCAGGGAATATTAAACTGTCAGGGAAAATAACAAAAATTTCAGGGTAAAGTTGTTATGCTGCCTTTAATTGCTGTCTAGAACAGGTTTGATGTTTCTAACAACAAATTTTGCCTAAAAAATGGTTCTAATCACCATCTGGCGTATCTTCAATTGTCAGGGAATTTCCCCGAAATGTAACAGAAAAATCAGGGAATTTTGTTCTGTAAATTCTTCGGCAACACAGATACTTTAAGTTGTGCTTACTTTAATTGTATTGTTTATTCTTTCCGTAGGTTTATAGAATCTGATAACATGAAAGTTGTTCGAATTTTTCATCCTTTTGCATCAGTTTTTTTTCAGAAAAAAAATTGGAGAAATTTGATTCATAAATTTTCATCCTTTCTGTAATGGTTTTTGGTACTCTGGTTTTTTCAGCAAGAAGATGTCATGGAAGGCGAAGAGCAATACCACGCTGTAGAGTTGAACAGAGGATCTCGTGGATTTGGTTTTAGTATCCGTGGTGGAAGGGAATTCCAGAACATGGCTCTATTTGTTTTGCAGATTGCCGAAAACGGTCCTGCAGCATTAGACGGTCGCTTGAAGGTTCGTTTTATTTTTAAAGATTCTTAACAATTTAATTATTTTATTTTGGCTCTCATGACAGAGAAAAATTCATTGAATCAAAATTACCATTAAGTAAAATCTCAACGCAGCCTACTAATATTGCTTTTATTGGAAAACCAAGCACCCACCTGTCACAGTTCGATCCTATATTTCATCATCTCCAAGAACCAGAAAATTCAGGTTTGAAAATTTCTGGGAATGTCGGAGAATTTACTAGGGAATTGGTGTTAAAAGTAGGAAATGTCTTTCCTTTCTGCTCTGAATTCATTTTGTGTTCAAGGTTGGTCTGTGTTTACTCAGATTCAAAAAATTTACAGAATTATTGCAAAATCATTAGTTTTACCATGCATTTACAAGAAATGTATTGATTTCTCATTAAAGTCCAAAAGAAAATGACGGTATTTAGTTTTTATTAAATCATAGCCACCATGGTCTAAGCTATGAATATATCAGTGAGTAGCGTATTTTTGAATGAGCAAAATGCTTTGAAAGTTTTCATTATTTGCCTCTGAAATTTACTTTTTCTTGTGAAAAAGTCAGAATATGGCCGACAGATTTGACAAAATTCATTATTTAATTAATTTTTTTTACAACTTTGAACGTTTCATCTCAAAATAATGTATAATAAATATTTCAAACCATGTTTTAGTCGTTCGGCAATAAATGCCAAAGATCCAAAATAAGGTATGCAGATTTTTCGAGCCTTTTTACAGGATTTCCAGTGATTTGAAAAAGTCAAGAAGTTTATAGGAATAGTCAGGAAATTTTGTGAATAGCAAGTAGACTCAGCAACTCCAGTCAGCACCATTCAGGAGAGAGCAAACAACTTTTGAATGCCTTTTTCCATAATTTAAATCTCTAAAAGTGGACATTCTGTCCCAAGTCTAGCAAAAGTCAGTGTAATTAAACAAAAAAATCTATAAAATGGAAATTTTGTCAGAAGTTAAGGAAAAAGTCATGAAATTCAGAAATACAGAAATTTTGACGTTAGAGAAACAAGAAAAAAGTCAAGCAAAGTCGTGGAATTAGATATTGATACAATTATGGAAATCAGAGACTTACCCTAAAGGATATGTTCTTTGTGATTACTTCCAATGACCTAACTTTGATGAGGAAACAATACTTGAAATCTAGAGTTAGCTCTGAAATTTATTTGATAGTAATAAAATTGTTGGTCTATAATTTAAAACTCAATGTAATTTTGTGATTTCAGATTGGTGATCAAATAATTGAAATCAATGGAATAAATACCAAAAATATGACCCATGCTGAAGCCATTGAAATCATACGCAATGGAGGACCTTCTGTTCGACTTCTCGTGCGAAGAGGTGGTCGAGTCCCGCCCATTCCTTTGGAAGGTAAAAATTGCTTCAACCTTATTGTATGATTTTCTTTGCTCCATTGAATATATTTTTGTTTGATGGGCTAGTCGTCTTTTTAAATATCGTATATATAGTTGTAGCGCAAATCTGTTGACCCCAAAAATTGTCCAGTTCAAATTTGCGTCAGATCTGTTTAAGCGTTGACAATTAGCCGTTATTGACCTGTCTTCCTTTGTTATCATTTTCCCCTGAATGCTGCCTAAATCTGCTGGAAGATAATTGCTATCTGTATGTATTTATCAACAATTTTCTTCATTATTATTCTTTCTGCTGTCAGCCCATTTCTACTTGAGAGTCTAAGAAAGAAAAAATTTTAAAAAAAGGGAAATATGTACATTTTAAAAATGTGTGCAAATATCTTGAAAAAGCTCTTGTTTTTCTCATGCCTGTCACCACTAGACTGATACAGTGGCCGCATCATACTTTTTAAGTTGCAGCTTGATGGTTCTAGCGTAAACAGACGCATAACCTTGTCGTTTTTGCGTCATGGTGGGAAAATGGACTCAGGTGTCTCTTGAAATTTCTCGAATTAATGAGTCGTTAATTCATTTATAACTTGTTAATGACAAAATTGCTATGAAACAATACATTTAATCCACGCAGAATTTGGACAAGATTATGTTTGTTTGTTTTTATTTTAACTCTCAAAAATCAATAATATAATGTATCAAAATTACTGAAAATCAACGTTTCAAATATTGCAAGACTGATGCAGCCCCTAAATTAGTGTATGAAGAGTAATTTAATCGGTGAAACATTATCCTCCAAATTATGTTCCATCATTCGATTGCTTCACTACTGTCCTTTTCAATATGATGGTAATTTCAATGTTAACAACTAACTAAAAAACTTTTCAATTGTTTTCAGATCAAATGATATCCGGAAACAACATGCTTCAACAACAACCTAACAGTCTCATGTGTTTGAACATGGCCAACAACGCCTACTAGTAGTGCTGTCTCGCAGCCATCGCTTAGCCTCATACTTCTAAAACTGGTTTTTCAGTTACCACTCTCAGACTCTGAATAAATGCTCATTTTACGTCATCTGATGTAAGTTGTATATTTAAGACAAAAAATGTGTTTCTCTTTTTTTTTTTCATTTGCCAATGTGACCGATGAGAAGGATACAAAGGGTGAAGATTTCAAAAATCAAGTCCCTGAAATTCATTGCTCTCATTCCTTTTTGCCATTTTATGGACCTTTTAATGATGGTTGTGATGTTTGCAGATAATGCTGCCTGTCTGCTAGCAGTGTTGTTTGCTGTTCAACATAGTATAATTTGTGTACTATACTTTCAATCTGAGGTATTGCTGTTTTTAGATTATTTTCAGGGGTGCTTTCTGAACTCATCTGAAAATTTCTGCATCAGACAATCCCATATTTTCGAATATTCTACTGTAGTAAATTTCAACCTAATATTAGAATTCTGTCCTCTTTTAGTATTGTCATGAGTTCCCGTAAAGCACTATTTTGTTCTTGTTTATGGAGTTCAAGATTGATGACGTCCAGTAATATAATATATGTATAAAAAAAGTGTAGAAGATCTGAGGTTGTTCTGATTTTTAATGGCTCAAATGCTTAATTTTTTTTAATATCTTATTCAGTACGAATATTAAATCTAAACATATTTCAATACGACCAGGTACAAATTTCAGTGTTATGATGTATTTTTGTCATCAAATTTTCATGTTGAACACAATTTTTACCACAAAAGTTATTGAAAGTAACTTCTAATCAAGATATTAATGTTCTCCGGTGCAGAATTCCAAACCATTCTCTATTGGAAAAAACCATTCTCTATTCGAGACGAATGGAAGGGACAATAATTATACCAAGACAGTTTCCGCTGAATGGAAAATGGCACCTTTAATTTTGATGCTGAAGCTCAGCTGTTGCACATCATCCAGACTTTGAACAACTCAGGGTGGAGAAAAATACTGCTCAATTAAGAAGCCTGCCAAAATCGTTGTAGTGCATGATTTGATTGACGTAGCCCCTGGTTTTTTTTTTTTTTTTTTTTTTTTTTGTGAGTGAGAAATTCAAATTTTTTGTAGCTAGGGCTGAAGAATTCTGTTGATATCTTGGTTGGGAGTCAATTTCATTCAGTTTTATTCTGTCTATTGTATTCTATGTGAAATTTTAAAGAGGATCATATCAGAATGCTCAAATTGGTGCCTTGTGCACCTGTACGGATACTGTATACCTTGCACTATTGCTTATTTGGCAGTGTATTATTTGATTCTACATTCAATAAGAGTGAAATTTTATTGAATGAATGAAGATACTATGAAGAGAAAACCTGGAAAATTTCAAAGGAAAAAAAGTCATCAAAAAACGCAAGCTGTGTCAGAACAAAAGGGCTAATTTGTAAAACATGTTACACTTTTCGAATCAATTTTCAAAGACCAAAAACGCTGTGTTCAGAAAACCTCTATCTGATTCATTCAGTGATAGCAAATTGTATTTCGTAAATAAAACTTGTATTGGTTGTAACATGAACCCTCCATTTAACTTAAAAGTTTTTTTTTTTTTTTTTTAATGTTGAAAGTTGTTTCCTTGATGTTGGCGAAAGGTGTGTTGATTTGTAAGGAAAATTATCGTTCTTAAAGAATTGCACGTACATTTCCAGTAGCAAAGTACGTCAGTTATGAATACTGCCAATAACTTTTTGTTTTTTTGGCTGAATAGCTTTACTGATTGTGCCAGTTAATGTGCAGGTATTGACAATTTACGTCTCTAAACACAGGGTTCTCATAGGCCTCGAGTGCCTCAGTTTTTTGTGATGCATCCGTTTCCACCTTTTACTTAATTGAAACATCACAGCTTAATTTTTTTTCGAAGCTTAAAATGGCATTCTGTAAATTTTTCTTCAACAATTTTCACTGTTGTACCTTTGGACTCATTTTATTGTCTTGAAACTCATTCTTTCTCGGGAACATGTTTCAAATGTCTTAATTTTTGCACTCCCTGGATGCACTCTATCCAGGGGCAATCAGATTTTTCTCGTAGGATAGTTTGTAATTACAACTGAACAATTTGTTTGGTGATTTTGTTTGTTTTTTTTACTCATTTAGGGTATCTTTTAAGACTGTTTCTTCTCCTTGAAGACTATGATTACCTAAGTGCAGCTTCTCTGTTATTCATACTAGTGCTTGACGTGATATTTCTCAGGGGTGCAGAAAATGAGGATCTCAAGATAGTGCACGGTTCGAATCGCCGTAAAAAGTATCTTGACATTTATTTTTCTAGGCCCCAAGAGTGATTGATTTTTTGGAAGATCGACACTTCAACTCTTGAACGAAGTATCTCATTTGAGGAGGTTTTAAAATCTGCTCATATTTTTGTTTTATTAAAGAAGAACATTTTAATATCATTCCTTGAAGTATTCATAGAATTTTTTTTTTTGCACTGAGGAGAAAAATCGCGAAAGTGTTTAAGAATTGACATTGAGTAGTTTTCCATTTAAAAAATTAAGTATGACTGGAAGTCTGCATTGTCAGAAATGGAGATGTCAAGATGCTTGAAAAGCGCTTGAATTTCTCTCTGAAATGAATGTCAGCAGTACTCACTTGCTGTTTTAAGAAATTACAGCATTTTATGTTAAATAGATTGTTTGGAAAAACAAGACCGTTACGACGGTGGGACATGATGTACCTTCCAAGTAAGCCAAACATTTCTGACTGGAACTCATGATACAGAGGAAAAAATTGTAAATCTAGAAAAGAATCATGATGAAGATTGTGGAAAGTGCTTGAAAATTCTTCTAAAAGTGCTTTATTTATTATTCTTGAGGCTGCATGAATCATTAGTAGGTAAAAAAATGCAGGCTATTTAATGAAAATTTCTTTCGCCATCATAAAATTTCCACAAGCCATGTGCACTCTCAATAATTTTTATAATTTAGGCAGTTTTCTATCATGTAATATAAAAGTAAGAGGTATTTATATGGAGGAAAAAAAATTGAGCCAAGTCTAACTACCACAAAAAAAGATAGAAATCTACAGAGAAGGGAGATTTCCACCAGGTTCCTGTGATTCAAATAAAAGCAAATTCCACCCGATTGTGAACTCTCAAAGTTCACCAAACGCTTGCCAGTTTTTTGTCATAGTGCATTTTTTATCGATCCTCAAAGTACTTACACAGTCAGGAAAAATGTTCCTATAATTTTAAAAGAACCAGACATTTTTTCTGTTTTTGTTTCCTGCACCCCTGGCGACATTACTTGTTGACTTGCTGGAATTGATAGATCATCATCTTATTTTTAAAATAATTTTTGCGGGCTCGTGTCTTGACTATTAATTGAGCGGAGTCCACAGGAATCAGTCTAACTACTTGAGACGTTTCCTAATTTTCTCTGATGTTTTATTTTTAGAACAGATAACTAAGCAACACTGAAACATGAAATTCTGTGAGTTTATTCTTCTTAATCTAGGATATATTCACAGAAAATGTGAAGATGTTAAATAGTTCAGTACTCTTTTAAAAAAATGAAGAATTAGCGAAAATGTGGCAGTATAAAATGCAGTTGGGGTGATTCTGGTTAATCTAGATAATCTTTTTTTCTTCTTTTTTTTTTGCTTTGAAAGTGCTTTATTTGAATTTAACAGAAGAAGACTTTTCCTACAATATCTGTCCACTCGGTACGCACACTCCTTTGATTATACGTAACTCAGCATTTTCTCTTTTTCACCTATTACACAGTATTTCAGTATTGTAGATACTTTGTACATACATATGTAAGTTGTATATTTTCTTCAGGGTCTTGTTATAATTTTAAGTGAACCCTTGTACGGATTGAAATAGCTAACTGTAAATGAGATTGTGATATTCTCTCATTTGTGTACTATTTATACTGTGCATTTGTTTCTCCACATTTTAACGTCTCTGATTCATTTTCATTAGTGTTACTTTCACCATGATCAATGTTTTATTATTATGACCGAACACTTTTCACCGCAATATTTTGTTGTACAATTCCTATCTTTTGTAGGATTTTCATGCAATATCATTAATGAGACCCCCCTCACCTACAAGTTTTTCAATAGCAGATAAAAGCTATTATGCAAAAGAAAAAAATAAGTTCTCAGTTTTTTTTCTTGAAAATGCTGTTATTTGATTATTTTGTGATGAAGTGGACTCTTGTTCACAGTATGTGCCTAAGCCTCTTTTTTTATAATTTTAAATTTTTTGTAGAATTTTTACCCTCTATTTATTTTATCTTAGATTTGTCTATTTCCTGTTAAGTTAATCTCAATACAGTTAATGTTTTGTTGCATATTGTAATTGATCCTTTCAGCACTTGCGCGCATGGATTTATCATCGCAAATGAAAGCGCAAAAGTGTACGCTATTTATGATATCTATTAAATTGATTTTTATTCCTCCAATATTTTGTCATTATTTTGCCTATTACCTCATGTTAAATATTAGTATGAAAGTCTCAACCCGTTGACTTTAAGCGAAGGTTGTGGGTGGTTTGGGCTACACTGAGCCAGGTCCGAACTGGTCTCAGAGCTGTCGGTTAACATGGCATCTAAGTTTACAATATGTTCAACAATAGACTATGTTCTTAGCAATGTTTATGTGAGTAGTGTCATCAATGTTGAACTTATTTAGTGCGGTAATTTTTTGCTTTGTCACAGTATTTTCATTTTATTGTAGGGTTGGGCCTAAAGAAATCTCAAATATTCTTGTTTTTTTTTTTTCTCATGTTTCGATATTTATGATTCTGACAGTAATAATTCAACAAAACAAGAGGACTCTAACTAAATTTGTTCCCTTTTCTGCTAGGAACCTATTGTAAATGTGAAGAACTTCGATTAATAGCCTCAGGAAGTGAGTTGAATTGAGAACAATTATTGATAGATGGAAAAGTTAATTCTTTGGAAGCAATGTACTGTAAGGATACAGAACTCCTGTGGGCTCAACTAAGTAGAACTGATAGTTTGTATGATCATTGCAAATATAATAATAACTGTTCTGAGTGAAGAACAGAGTTGCAAAAATTTTTATAAAATTTAATTTTTTACAACTTCTGTAGTGGTCTCAGTATGCCATGAAACACATAGTAACAATGCAGTCTCAAATCTGAAACTTCAGAAAATAAAATTTGAATCAGATTTTAAAGTGTTTCATCGAATTCCTGGAGAATTGTTGCGGGTTGCTCTTTTCAGCAAAATTAATTTCCATGTGGTATTCCATTTTGCATTTCCTGGCTGGAGAAACAGAAATGAACCAGACAGGGCTGCTCAAGTCATGCCGGAATCACATGCTGAATTTAGCAGCTGAAAGTGGAAGTCAACAGTCATCGCCCAACGGCTGAAATTTCACAAATTCGAGTATTTTTATCCAGATGTGTATCAAATCTATTCAAATAGTTCAGACAAATATAACATTATCTGATGGTTGCTGAGGATCATTGCTGAATTTTGCGCAACACGCACAAAACTCGGTTATCGGGCCGATGACTTCCACATTCAAGCCACATTCAGCGTGTGATTGCGGCATCAAAGGTCAAGTATGACAGATAGGAAATCTCTGTGAAATATTCAATGGTACATAAAGCTATGAAAATTATGGAACATATTTTCAGAGCAGCTGGGTAGGTTTACAACATACACTTATCACACGAAAAAGCAAAAACCATAATATGCCTTTCATTTAATGATGCATTTAATTTGAAAAATATTTTTCAGTATCTTGTATAATTTTCTGAAATTTTCAAATTTTCCTCATTAAAAAACTACAACCCTGGTACTAACTTTTGGTACAATTGGCAACAACGCCGTACAAGTGGCGGGAATCATTAACCAATCACTTCGCATTACAGTGACCTTGATTCTTTGTTTACTTTTCTGTTACCCTTCCTCTCCTACAGTCAGCGAGCGAACCCACGTGGTCACACTGCTACTTGAAAGTGCCTTTGTGTTAAATTACCGTGAAAATTACTGCTATTTTACAGAATTATTAAATGTGAAGCTTTGTGCCAGGACCCTCAACGACTTATTCACCTAAATTAGCGTGATAGGGTAGTAAGGTGCCTTTCTCGACCCGTACTAAATGAGGTTCATCTCTCGCCGGTGTTTGCAGGTAATCATTAAATGTAACTCTTTAAAATTAGAGAGCAAATTATAATGGACTCGACCGCAGCAACGACTAGTGATCCAGCTCCTTCCAACCCGACCCATTTCAGATCTCTTTTTTTTGACCGCAAACAAGGAGCAGATGAAGAGTTTGATCAGTTTCTCACCGCTGCAAGGACCCTGGTGGAAAAATGTAAATTCGGGAATCTCACTCAACAGCTCTTACGCGATAAAGTTGTCAGTGGAATTTCAGACAGTCAACTCAAGAGAATTTTCATCGCTGATCCAAGTATTTCTCTCGAGACGATCACTCTAATGTGCCGTGCAAGGACTTTATCAGAAGAACAACTATTGAAACTGCTTTCCTTAAAGAGAGAAGAAGGCATTTTGAGATGTTGTCAACATGTTAATCAAGTTGAAAATCCCACAGCACGGACTGAAGTCTTGGATTCTACCCAGAGAGGCTGGAATCTACCTCAATTATTCTCCCAACCCAATATGGAAAATGGTGTGGGGACAAATGGAAGTGCTGAAGAGACAGCATCTCCATCCAAAAGAATGAAGTTGATGGAGGAACCTGAGATTTCTTCACATGCTGCAAGTGAGTATAACTCTGAGATCCCGTATGACTCCAAGTAACAGTGATTGCGATAAATAGCGATTTTATCTGTTGGTTATCACTATTATAACGGCAGAAATATATCGAGATGTTATCGCATTAAAAATTGTGATGTATGGCTATTAAATTGCTACACATTGCAATTTTTGGTTCGATAAAATCACAATCAATTTTTGGCAATGAAATCAAGATTACTTAAATTGCTATTTATCGCGATTCTTGACATTGTTAATGGACAACCAAAATTAATAGCAGGGTTTTCTAAAATATTGGTAGCATCATTTGCAATAGGTACTGTGTTCATCTTAATCAGGAGCTTCATTACCCAGTCTAGGTAAAACTTAATCGACAGTTTTTTTGGGGGGGGGGGGGGGATCTAACTGTCCGGCTGTCAGTCTGTACCAAGTAAATGCGCTGAAACCACACCCCTCCGAGAATAGAGCCTGACTTACCAAAAATTCAACTTAAGAACAAAGCTATTCAACTTCAGGTCACAAAAGAGGAATAAGAATAGTTTGGCAACACTGGAAAGGCGTAAGCGGAAGTGTCATCTTTTCTGTTAGAACTCGTCAGATTCTATGAGTGTTCATTAATCTGGAGCATCCCTTGCTTTTAGGTGCAGAAAGTTCCAACGCAACCTTCAGATTCAGTGTCGAAAATATCAGCGAACTTCGAGAATGGTGGCGATCACCTGAATTAATCGTCTCCAACATCTCTTGGAGCATATTAGTGAAACCAATAACATGGAAAGACAACCCGTCTAGAAAGTCCCTTGCCTGTGCCTTTCAGGTATCTTCTATTTATGTTTTAATAATATATAATAACATATTGTTAATTTTATACCGGTTTCAGAGAAATAATTATGTTAAGTACACTATTGAGCTCCAGGTATGCATGGATTCACTCATCTGCTGCCTCCTTTTCATCAGGGAAAATTTGCAATCTTGCCGCCCTGGGGTAACAAAATTTTCAACCTCTAAATTTCCTTCGATACTCAACTCCTATGCCTTTGCTTTTTGGTTTGACATGATTTTTTTTGGAGCATGACGATTGAAAAGCAAAAGAAAAAGATTGTCACTTTTGAAATTTGCTCCTTCCCTGCAATGATTTTACCACCCCCTTTTAATGCAGCCTTAATTAGGCCATGACGTACTCCTGTAGCCATACCTGTTGAGCTCAGTGATGTAACAATGAAGCTTCATGAAATTTCGGTAATATTCTCAGTGTAGTCAATGTACCTAATAACACATATTGACTACCTTGTGAGAATTGCTAAGTAATCAATTCATTATTGTGCTAATTCTTTGGTTGTGAACTATTCACAATCAAATTCTTTAGATGTGAACTATTCACAATCAATCAGTCAAATCAATTTAGAATCAATGTTTTTTGTTTTTACAGAAGTACTTAAATGTAAGTGAAAATTTGTTATTACCTGGGCAAATTAAAGTGAATGAAAAGCACCTTGAAGAGTATCACAGATGAAAGAGTTTAGTGACGATTTTTTAAAACGCACTTATCGAAAGGTATATTTCTTCCATGAATCTAACATCAAGATTAATTTTTTGCCTCCGTTCTGGAATCTTATAATTCACCTGTGCCTAGAGGGGTCTTTTGTAAAATGGACGTATTTCTGTCGAATGGAACTATGTGCATTATGACGTGAGCCTTATTATGCATATATTCTCATGGGTCTCAGGGCTTATGTCTTAATGCACATAGTTCCGTTTGACAGAAATACTTCCAAATATATAACACTCTAAGAGGGAAAGGGGTTGAGGAGAAATATGACAACCTTATTATTGGTGCTTTAGCTCAACCATTGCACATTGTTCGTACTTTGAACAATATAGGGTAAGGAAGGAACTCTGCTTAGTGAGAAATCCGTCAAAACTGTTGTAGTGCGTGATTTGATTCAGACTTTTGTTTTTCTTGTGAGGGAGAAATTCAAATTTTTTATAACCAAACCCAAGTAAAAACAACCATATTGTAGCTGGCAGGAGTTAAGTAATATCAGTAACCTTTGTTGTGCATCATGAAATTTTGCGTCCTACATGATTTTTTGTGTTCTCCATGAAATTTTGCAGCATAAACTAACATCAGGATACTTTTATTCGCATCTTGTCTAGGGATCCATTATGTTATCAAGAATTTTTCGCCGAATGAAGATTGTTATTAAGTGCAATAAACTAATCAATTCTAACTGATGCCTCACAAGGCCATAACTAATCATGTAGCACTTTGCCATACAAATCATATTTCCAACTGTAAGGTTTCTGAAAAATGTGTATGTCGCATAATTTAATTTTAAAGGATTTATTTCTGTGTATCATTCCTTCAGAAATTTGATTTTAGTTTTAGAGTCACACTTCAGTCCTTACTTGCATCATTACTTAAACCCCAGAAGCATTATAAAAGGGATTCTTTAACTTTTTCTCTTTTTGCTTTTAATTTTTAGTGTGTTCAGAGACCCACCGGATTTTCTTGGAGTTGCTTTGTAATATTAGAGCTGAAAATTCTTTCTCAGAAAAATGGAGTAAAGCCGATTTCAGGCAGTAAGTATTCCTGAACAACACTGTACTCCTGATTACAGGTATTATTGGCTTGAAGATGACCTCGAGGGATGTGAAAATAATTTGAAAGGAACTGTCAGTATAAATTGTGTATGTATGGAGGATGCAATAATAAACTATTATCGCTTCAAAAATAAGTATATTACCTACGGAGGAGATGATAAATTTTTCCTCATAGCGTTTATAACTTGTTGGCAGCTATGTCGCTACCAGTGACTGACGGTGTTCTTAAATTTTGGATGGCATTACCCATAGGTGACAGATTTTCAAATTTATTGAAAAAATAGTTCTTTCGCCTGTCATGATGTCATAATCTCTTAGAACATCCTAAATTCATGCATCCTACTTAAATATTGTTTACTTTGTCATGTTATTCGGCACCTTAGTTTGAAAATCAACAAGAACTTCATTTGGGTCCGTATCAGATACCGGGAGCTGCCACTAGCTGACATTAAACTGTTGTGTTGTTTCCAAGATTAAGGAATGCATCTCCATTCCAAAGTTGCAACATTTACCTGAAAAAGTCAATTTTTTACTGGAAGTTGATTTTGAAATTTTTGTCCAAAATATAAATAAGTTTAGCCTGTAATCAGAGGAAAAAGCAAAAAAGCAGTGAAATTTTCAGTCTGAAATACTTACCCAACATTTTGCAGGCACAAGCGCAATCAGAGAGTGGAAATGTTACACTGCTGAAACGTAATTACATTTCTCTGTCAGAGAAAGGATGATTTTTTTTGTTGCCAAAAATGACCTAAGTGCGACTGTCAATAATCGTGAATCAAAAGAAATTATAAGATTTTTCAGGTAGAACTTAAAATATTCGAGAATTAACCAAAACAGATATCTTGAAAATGGCTTTATTTCTTGAATTCAATCTTTCTTATTTTTACTAATGAGGATTTTTGCAATTGCTCTCTTTAGGAATTCAACTAAAGTTTGACAACACAAAAATGCGGAAAAAAAGTCATAGAAAAATATTCATTCCTTGGAGAGATTTGTTCAACTATGAAAAGGTCTATGTTGTAGATGACTCTATCACCCTAGAGGTAAGCGTTTTCCTTGATGCCACTTTTATCTTTCATGTGTATTCCATCTGAAGGCAAAAAAGAAGCACTTGATATGATTTGTTCCAGGAAGGTATCCAAATTCTTTATTCAAAAAGAATCTTTCAAATTTGGTTTTGTTTTTTAAATGATATCATTTTAAAGATTCTTGGAGCATAAAAAAGTAGGTATGAAATTTAAGTTTTCTCTAATGCAAGAGTAGATGCTTCCATTTGAGCTGAAAAATAATTCTGCTCTTCTTTCCTCATCACATTTGACAGTATTTTACACGCATAATGAGAGACGATGGGGCCCTTCTGAAGGAAGTTTCTGTGCAAGTTCCATGAGAGTTGCCCGAAGTATGTAATACGATAATTAGTTTGAGCAAATGCAAAAATCTATTGACGTATGATTTAGACAAGCATCCAGACTAAGTTGTCCAACTAAATCTATTCAAGGTTATTTAGTTGAAAATTTGCTCAGGCATGGCATTTTTAAGCTGATATTTTGCAACTGGCTGCCAGATCTTTAGGATATTTTGCAAAAAAAAAAAAAAAGAGGAAGGAGTCATTTTGTGATCAGGTAGAGATGATCTAGATGGATTTGACCAGATGGTAATCACAAAAGCGTAAAATAATCGTGTATTAGGGAACAGACGACCCAAAGCATGTTGACTGGGACTTGGAAAAACCAAGTAGTATACTGGGATTCATCAGGGAATGAAATGTATCTGTAAAAATCAGGGAATTGGTGCTGGAAGTCTTTTCTGTGGTCAGTGTTGACTCGGCTTTAGAAAATCAGACAGAAGATGGAAAAGTTGTTTTTTTTTCCCCTGAAGTTTTTTTTTTTATGAGAATCTAGAGGAAATTTCAGGTCTTCATCCATAGGAATCAAGATAAATCTGGGAATGGACAAAGTAAAGAATTTTACACACCTCTGCTTATGCTCTTGCCATAATTTCGCCAAATAGAAGATTTTCAGGCTGATGCGTGTTTTTCTGTTTTAAGACCCCTCATCATGACTCTCCTATTTTCAAAACTCGTTTTCAGAGTCTATTTTTCCTTACGACCAACTACGACCTGCGGGCTGCAATTGGAATGTTTTTGCATCTCTGTGTATCCCTTGAGTTACCCAAGTTCAACCAAATTGTGCTTCGCAGGACCTGATGAAATTGAATGAGTAATTAGTTTTTGTTTTACTTAACAGGGCACTTTATCCGTTGCAATGGAAGTTTAGAAGTCTAGCATTTTGTGTCTTACTGGGCACTGAAGATACTCAATGAGCTCATCAAGTTAAGGCAGTGATTTTTCCTATGATCTCTGTGAGATTGTTATAACAAAGTTTTCTGTACATATTACAATAGTTTAAATTTGAAGAAATATTTACTGAATCATTCAGAAAATCATTCCAAATCAATTTGATTCAATTTCTCAAGTTGTATTATTCAATCGGTATTCTTATCATTTTCTCGTCAGGACCCAGAGATGTTCTTTAAGTTAACTTTGTATCTCTTGTTTCATCTCTCAAAATTGTTTTTGTTTTTGTTTCGTGAGTGTTCTAAAACTATAAACTAAGTGTGATATAGTAAGTCTACAGTCTACTGTTTACTGTTTCAAATGTGTTTGTTTATATTTTATGTTCAACTGTTATTTGATAGGAAAAGTAAAATTGTGCATAATCATATTCTTACAGTACTATTTAATTCACATAAAGAGTTTCTAAGAGTGAAATAATCATCTGCATACCTATAATAGATCATTTAACCCTTTCTTGAACGCTTTGTAGCATTCCCTCAAAAGTACACACATTTAAAGATCATGTAAAGCAAAGGGCGCAGAGATTGACCCGGGACCTAAAGCACTCTCCAATTAAGGTAGGAAAGACATGAATCACACAACACAAGCATTTTCTGTGTTTAAAAATGTGTGAATGTAAAACTCAGAATCTGTCGATTGACTTCTGCAATGTCTGAAGTCATTATAAAGTATCTAAGTCCAAATTAAAGCACAACAAAACATTTATGTGACTTATTTTCTGATGAAATGACTCTTTTTATAAAAATAAATTTGTGAAAAATGCGAAATGTACCTGGTTTGACGGAGGAGCTGAGAGTTTCCATCAATGTCTGCAGAAAAATTCCTTTCCAAACTTTCAGCAAAAAATGCATACATGCATTCCAAAAGATCCTGAAATTTTTTGAAATTTTAACTCTATTTGGATGCATTTTGAGGCTTTTTAACACAGATTTTCCATCAGTTTCTGCATAAAAATTACGCCTTTTTTTACTTTTAGCATAAAATATTTTCGAATTCTATGCATTCAACAAATCTAGAAAATTGTTGAAATTTTAATTCTATTTGGACGCATTTCGAGGCTGATGCAGATTTTCCATCAATGTCTGCAGAAAAATTACATTCCCTTTCTGAACTTTCAGCACAAAATGCATACATGCATTCCAAAAGATCCTGAAAATTTTTGAAATTTAAACTAAAAAAAAAAACCAAGAAAAAACACCATATAGATACAATTTGGCCCAAAATTTATTGAAAAGAATAAAAAACAGCTGGCCACACAATCTATCCAAAATGAAATCAAAAGTGTGCCTGGGTATAAATATGTAAGGCACGCTAAAAACGAGGCCCGAATACCTACGTCTCTCCTATCTTCGGCTGTGTTGCGCACGTACCCCTTAAAGCACCACAACGAGTAAGACAAACGGATCTAACGCAACATGGAAATAGAGCGAGGGACAGGACGCGCTTGTTGACGGCGCAGAGATACAACTATTCGTGTTCGATGGATGTCCGGGCTGCATCTGCAAAATTGAAGGCGCGACGGCGCAGAGCGATACATCAGACCCGCCACATCCCATGTTCGGCCCTGGCGCCAGTTTTAAGGCTCGGACTCTTGACTGCCACCAACTCCCCCATCCCTCCAGCCCCTCACCACCAGAAAAATAATCCTAATATATAATTCCGTAAGCCCGATTTCTGTTTCGAAATTGCGCCGCGACCGTCGTGCCGATCCGGGCGTCGGAGGTGCCGGCGGGACCGTCCGGGGTCGGGAAAAATACGGGGATATAATTCCGTAAACCTTTTCTTCAGCGCGAACCGCCGGGCCGATCCGTAAGCGGGTGGTACCGGCTCGACCGTCCCGGTCTCCCAACGGCGGGAAAAATATAGGGATCGGCCGGCGTGCCCGGCCCCCCTTGCCCCCTCGGGTAAAACGGTTGTCCCGTCGGGAGATGCGCGGTTTTTCCTTTTTCCCGTCCTATTTTTCTTCGGTCTGATGACTCGGCTGCCCGGTTCTTTCGTCTCCCTGGAAATGGCCGTGGATGATGGATTTACTGCGGAAGCATAGTGCACCGTCGCCGTCGTTGTCTCGCAATTTTTTTGTCTTCAGTCATGGAGAATCCGTGTTCAAAGCGTGAGCGTCCTGCGAGGCGTGGGCATGTTTTTCGCAACCCCTTTTTGCGGCGCATCGAACGGCGTGGCGAAATGCGACTGGTGCATGATTTACCGTATTCGTTTCGACGGAGCATTTACGATGTTAATGAAAGAGATTCTTATAAATTTAATATATTGAGATATATTAATACTGAAGCTTAATATTGAAGAGATGAATTAAGAACGGAAATTTTGAAACACCGCAATCGAGATACGTGGTTTCGCACTTCAGTCGGTGCGATACGGACATCCATCAAGTTTAAAAAAATGCATAAAGTCCCCGTCACCGCCGACCAATGCGTTTGTCGATCGAATCAACTACCTACAGGTAGTATGAGCAGGGGGTCAAAACGCCTTCAATTTTTTGAACGCAATACGGACATCCGTCGAGGTTGTATAGTTGTATCAAGGCGCCGTAGCAATCGCGTCCCATTGTTTATCGTTACAGACGAATATAAGTTGAGAGAGGCCAGTCATAATGCCTTCAATTTTATACATACATATTTTTGGGCAAAATGAGAGACGACGTTTCTCCTTTTGCGAAGGTGGAGACTTCCTTAGAAATTTTATTTTTCTTTCGAGAAGCTGGTCAACATAAAACTTAAATTCTCCATGATTTTTCGTATTCGATAGCAGAAGATATGGTTAAAAATTATATGAGCTTTGGAAGCAGACAGAGATGCAAAAGCCATACAACTGTTGTACCTCAAAATGTTGGTCATGAAAATGGGTTTGGAGAAGAGGTCGCGAAGTTGGTCTTTCATTCCAGGCTCGGCAAGTCTGAGAAGACCATTATGACAACATCTGTTAAAATGGCCGTTCACCTCCTCTTTTTTGAAATGCAAGGCATCACAATACTAGCACTTCACATTTAAAAGTCCGAAATTATTTTCCGGAATAATTTAATTTTTCCAGATTATAAATTTAAATTGTTATTAAATGATGATTAATTCAAAATTCCAATTTCAATCTCCAAAATTTCAGAGCATGCTATATCTTCTTTCAAAATTTATTGTCAATTCAAGTTGCTATTCAATTATAATAAATAACTTGAACGTAGTTGTTCTATGATTTCTTACGAGCAGTTCCCTTCCAGTGTTTAGCGGCCTCAGGCCCCTAGTTTGTAATATTGTGCAAATTAATAAGATTAGAATGATGATAAAGAAAATAAATGCCCATTACATTTTAAGGAGGGAAATTTATTCGCATTCAAACAATGATTTGAGCTTTCTTTGCTTTTAAAATTGCAAAGCTGTTGAGGACGGAAGAAAAACCAACATTTGCAGCAAGGCCGTATGATTGATGGCGAGTTGAGCAAGGAAGTCGAGGATGCCCAGACTAGAGACTCTTAGCATCTAACGACGGCCGATCATGAAACGCAGTCTTAATTTAAAAAAAAACATTCCATACCTACCTACTAAAATTCTTGAAAATATGTAGACATTTTCAAAGAAGTAGGTAAGTAAGAAGAATTCTACAGTGCCCCAGCGTGTTTTTGAAAATGTATCCACCCTCTGCGAAATTTTTAGGGTAAAATTTTCACTTTACCTCACAAGACAAGGGTTACACGCGAATTCGAAGTGGTTTGTCACGGACCGCGGTACCAGGGACCCAGTATCCAGCCCCTTGTGGCGGGCCTGGATACAACTATTCGTGCTTGATGGATGTCCGTGTTGCATCTGCGAAAATTGAAGGCGCGAGGCGTCAACTCGTAAGCTCCGCTCTAGGTTCGGGTGAAAAGTTAAAAAACGAGGCCCGATTACGCCTCTCCTATATTCGGTTGCTGACACTCGATTTTTTTTTCAATTTGACGTCTGATTCTTTTTTCAGGATGTATTTGTAGACCTATATCTAAAGCTCGTATGCACTGACCCCGTACAATCCGCGGGGCTCGTGTTTTTGGCAAGCCTCGGGCATTGGCGGATCCAGCAAATTGGCAACGTTGCTTTTCTCCATTTAAACCTATGGAACTGTATCGCTTCTTAGAGGGGGCAAGTGCTCCGACAAGAATCGATTATTTAACATAGCTTTAAATGGAGAAAATCCGGTGTTGCCAAATTGCTGGCTCCGCCTCTGGCCTCGGGTCAATTTGGCCCGGATTGAGCATCCAAGGGTTGGAGAGTTATTTTTTTAAAATTTTCAAGTTTTTCAAAAGTGTTTTCGGCAGTGGGTACTTCTAGAGTTTTAATGATAGTTCTCGTTAAGAAAAAGGAACAAGCCTATAGACGGGGAAAAAGTAATTTCTCTCAATAGAAATCGTATCAGAATTGAGTGTAGGTATGCATCCGGAATGAATCTAATTTTTACGGTGCCTTGATCGCTGAGTGAGAAGAGATAAGAAGAGTATTATTTGAAGTTTTGTCTGGAAAGTCCACTAAAGCTATAGTTATCAATCAACCAAAAACTATCAATCAAAAAAGAAGCTAGACTGACTGTCATTTGGACTATGCATTTTGAAATTTGGAACTATAAATTCTGGCTCATCTGAAATAACACTTATGTGCATAGGGAAACCAATGGCACATACGTTGTTTTTAAACCGGGCCGGAATTTATAGTTTCTAATTGCAAAATGCAGTCCATTTGAGTCACCGCAGGAAAGAAAACACTTATCCCAAAGCTCCCGTTGTTATCACTAATGAAATATGTTTTTGCAAAAAAAAGAAGAAAGATCAATGCCGCGTGCAGGAAAAAGGAACGGGGATTGGAGTGACGGAGAAAGCAAGGCCGAAAAAACTTAACGTAGCTCTTTGACCCGGTGAAACAGTGATGACGTTTTCCGAGAACAGGGAAAAAACAGAGAGAAAACAATAAGGAAATGATCCGGTGCATAGTAAAATGCAAAGTGCAGTATTGCACATCTGCCAACTTAGCAATTGTATCAGACTTCTTAATCAGCCGCTACCGCTCACCAGAGCGGGAAAACCGAACCAAATAACTATAGACAGGAAAAATGATTATTGTGGAGGTGACAATTTGTCGGCATAAATTACCGCCTAGATAGACTCGCCATCTTCAGTGATGCCGAGTCTAGTCGAAATGATGGAAAATCGTCAGCGCTCTCGGAACTCAGTTCCACAAAACAAAGATCGCCTTTTCTTACCAGGTCTTTTAATTTTTTCCCTGACAAAAGCACCTTATAATTCAGGAGAGATGGGCCGCGTCAAGCAGAAAGGAACCAAGCCACATCAGCTATTGCCAAATTTGATTCGTCAATTTAATTTTTTAAATGAAAACGGTTGTGCGGATTTTTGTGCATATTTCAGTGAATTTTCTGCATAGTGCGAACCAAATTCTTCAACCATTTCAGAGGTTTCCGCACAAACTTTCTCTTGTAAATTGCCCGTCAAAATTTGGCCATGTGGCTTGGTTCCTTTCTGCTGTACGCGGTCCATGTATAGTAATGCTGACCGTTGAAGAGCACTTTTCAAAACTCGCTTAAAAACGGAGAAAGATACGTATAGAGAAACCCTTTTTTGTTTATTTTTTTAATAAAATGTAATGAAAGGAGAAAACTTTAAATAAAAATAAAAGACAAAATTGGATTTCGTAAGAGTTTTTTCGATATTTTACAAAAAAAGGGGGGGGGGTAAGTTTAATGAAAAACCTGGGGATCTTTGATGAGTTTTTGAGCTCTTTTTCTTACGTAGGTACTTAAATTTTACCCTTTACAAATAAGCCGAAAAGGTTTGATTTTCTGTACATTTTATTAACTTTTTTAGGGCTCTTCCGTGAAAAATGTATGAACCTACCTATTCTGTGAAAGTTCTTTTAACAATTGTTGCCATTTGTAAAAAACTCGCCCTTTACGTTTCCAAATTTATTGCGAGGGTGAATAATTGGGACAGTAACCACCGGATCTCAATTAGATTTAGCAGAAATAAGGAGATAATTTTTTCGGGAAACACAATTGGTCTGGTTGATAGAGACACTTTTTATTTCTCATAAAGAAACTCGTTGTTTCATAATTTTAATTGCAACAAAGTGTAGGAGTTATGTTTGTTAGTTTCTGGCAAAGGTTGAATTTACTTTAAATCTTTAATGCCTAACGGTGTTCCTATCTCCTTAATGCAAAGAGAAATTTAATTAGAATTTAGAAAAAGGAACCAGGAGAACAGTTGGTTCTATCTCAGATTTCTTAAAGCTAAAACTGTGACCTGCGGATATAATTTTTTTCAAATATGGCAACGTATTGGACCAACTTAACAATAAAAAAGCGCCACAAAGATTTTACACTACACCAAAGCTGTAGATTTTACGCTAGGGGTTTTCCCTGTTTTCTGTTTCCCTTTCGTGTCCACAATTTCCTAATTGGTGTTATTAGAAATTGTGCAATGTATCCCTTTATCTGATAGATCATTGAAGATGCAACTATAAATACTCGCGATCATCACAAAAGCTCAAACCAGTTGGTGCTCCCGTTCCTCGCTGACTTTTCTGCTGTAAGTATGAAGCATTTTTAGCTTTTCCCCCGCCTTTTAACTGTAGGCATTAAGCAAGCGATTGAGTGTCGTATTAAAGTAAATTAAAAGCAACGAAATAGAAAAAATCTTTCTCTTTTTCTTTTTTTTTTTCAAATTCACAATTCAGTGTTCAAAATATATACTGTACCATCTCGAATAACCGCGATTCGGGTTGTTCGCAGTTTAAGGACGCGTTTTCTTTGACTATGCTTCGAGGGTTGCACTGAATTTTTTACCACCGGAAACCCCCAAAAATCAACTTAAAAACGCCCCAAAATTCGGGTTTTCAAAATTTCAACGGTCCCCTAGTAGCAGAACCACAGAAGGAAAAGATAAATATTATGTACGAAAGTTAATTTTTTTTATATAATGCATGCATACTAACGTGTTAAAAGTGAACATTTTTATGTAATCATTATATAAAAAAATGTTATAATTTTCGTGAGCCTTTCGCGAACATACTAAAAATAATTCTAATTCGCGAAAAGCTCGCGAAAATGATGACCTATTTTTTTATATAATCGTTACATAAAAATGTTCACTTTTAACACTTTCGCATGCATCATTTTTCATATATTACGGCCAGGTCTGAACTTTCATTTTTTTTTTTTTATGTAAGCGTTACACGTTTTTTATATAAAACGATCATTTAGATAACAGATATGTTTTTTTTTATACTTTTTTTAGAAAAACAAAAATTTGTTCTGCTACTAGGGTCGCCTCACGGTTCACGGTCAAGGAATCCGGTACCTACTTCCGTGACGTCACCGGACATGACAAACCTGATCTCTTCCTCGTATACAATGCATTCCTTCATAAAGAATTGACAGCCGCTTGATAAAGAGACCAAGTTTGTCATGTACTGTACGTCACGAGCATACCGGCTCCGTTCCCGCGTAAAAGTGACCGCTTTGAAGGGATCGGTTCCTAAAACAGCTTTTTTTGAAATTGGGAGGCGGTTTCAAGATTTTTCCATATCGCCATCGTTCTTTTCGTAAAATTTTCCATTGGTATCAGTTTTTAGTATGCAAATCCCAAACCTTGCATCAGGCCCATTAAGTGCTTGCACTTCGCTCAGTTTGCCTGAATTTGCCTTAAGGTGATTCGATGGACGCCATTTTTTATGTTAGAACGACATGCGATTTATCGCATCGATTAGTTCCATTTTTTAGCTACTCATAATTTTTCTCAAATTGTGAGATCGCAATTCTATTGTCAGGAGACTAAAGAACTCACTTATCAATTTTGACAAACAAATGCAACGTAAGAAAGGCGTGGTTTTTCAGAGGAAAAATATCGCATTCGATATCGATATCGGAACTGCACTCGAATGCGATATTTTCTCTCTAAAAAAACCACGCCGCCTATATTACGTTGAATTAGTTCGTCAAAATTGATAAGTGAATTCTTTAGTCTCCTGACAACAGAATTGCGATCTCAAAATTGGCGAAGAATGACGAGTAGCTGAAAAAATGGAACTAATCTATGCGATATATCGCATATCGACGGTGAGACTACCAAACCACGTATCTCGTTTGCGGTGTTTAAGAATCTACGCTCACATTTTATTTTTTTGAAGTAGACCAAATCAATATCATTCCTTGAAATTTTCACGGAATTTTCTCCGCACAAAGAGGAAAAATCACAGAAATTTTCAAGACTGGATGTTAAGTAGTTTTTCATTTAAAAAATAAAGTATGACAGGAAGTCTGCGACGTCGCAAACCGAGATACGTGGTTTGGTAGTTTCACCGTCGATATGTCGTACCGACACAAAATATAACGTCCATCTAATCCTCTTAAGTGCATGTCCGCATTTCAAATTAATTGATTTGAATCTGTCCATGTCTTGCAGGTTGACCGTTCTACAAACCGAAGTCACCATGATGCAAAAGATATTCGTCTTCTTCTTCCTCGCCCTGGTGGCCCTCTCCATGGTCGCTGTCAACGTCTCCGCGTGCCTGACCAAAGGAGCCAGTTGCAAAGGTGACGGTTCCATGGGAAACTGCTGTTCCGGTTTCTGCTGGCAAGCCAACCCAAGCTCACCAGGATCCTGCACATGAAAAACATAAACTAGAACTCCAACCAGACCCAACACCACCGTTCATGTTGCCCCGTTTCCCAACTTATGAATGGATACTCAAACTCGTTTGTACATAACTCCGTAGCTTTTTCAAAATTCATAACGACATGATCAATTCGTCAATAAACCAAAACCACCAAACACCAAACTACTTTCGTCGCTTATTTGAATCCTAAAACCCAAGTTGCCCGGCGCAGTGAAAGTATTTCATTAAATTGCGATTTAATGCAGTAAATTTGCAATTTAATGCGATGAAATTGTGATTTTTTTTTTTTTTTTTTTACCGTGAAATTGCAATAGTTTTTAGTTAATTTTTGGTAAAAAAAAATGCAAATAAACAATCAACTAACTAAGTTGTATGAGATAGAAAGATAGGCAATTTGCAATGCATTGAAAAATTCCAAATTATTTCAATTAAAATGTAACAGATTTTGATAAGAGGTGTTCCTTCAATCGGTAGATAGGCAACATACACAACACTCAATGCAGTAGCAATAATCACGCCATTCAGTTACAATAATTTTTTCAATTCATGCTACTATGGAATTCTAATGGATTCAACCAAGATAACCCAAATACATACATCAGATGTGGCCTAAGCTGAATTTTAAATGTCTTCAAACAGGTGAACAAATGAAGTCCATCTCGGAAAACAATTAGGTAGCATTTATTATATTCTGGTTAAGAAACGGCACAACCAGAGGGTATGGTAATTTTCATCAAAATTATCGTGAAAGTAACAGGATTTTTCCTTATTGTGACAATAATTTTGGTGGTAGATACCATACTGTCTGGATGTGTCGTTTTTTAACCAGAGTAAGTACGGTAAATGCTGTCCAACTTTTTTTCCGTGATTACTTTAAATTTTGCGGACGTATTCCTTGTAATCGACACGAAATTTACAAAGAGTTTCAAGTCGTCAAGTTAATTAAATTTCTGTATTGAAAAGAAGGGGGACAATTGAAATATGATAGGAAATAGGCAACCTTGAATGCATCAGTCGGGCTGATTCTCTCGTCCAATTCCATGGATATTTAACCAAAACCAGCATAACTGTATTTCATGTAGCCGAACCTCTAGGTACGTGGTTTTGCACTTTCGCCATCGATATACTCTATAAAAAAAGGTAACGTCTGGTGCAGTTAGGTTGATCTCGGTTAAATCCATCAAATTCGTAATCACCAGTATAGTGGGACTTAGCCGATCTTCCAAAAACGGCGTCTATCTAGATTGCACTGCCGTTTTCTGCGAATGAGCTGAGGAAGTAAGACTGTTCCTGTTGAAACTCTAGTAGAGACCTTTTTTCTTTTAAGTGCATCCACGTTTGTGCTTCATAAGGTTCGTGTAGATTTATGCACAGATAATGTGCAGCCCGACATAATTACAAATGACACATAAATAATTTCGATGAAAGTTGGAAAAAAAATACATAAAAACCGGACGGTCTGGGGCGAATAAGTACCGACCCCTTCTCCAGCCAATAAAATTAAAATACAAATTAAAAACCTTAAAAACCTCAAACCATCTCGCCAATGCTCAATCTACTCTACTCATTTGCCCAAAAACGTTCGGGTTTTTATGTGTTTTTGCATCATATATCCCAATTATTTTTTGTGTCATTTGCATGGGTATAGAGATAGTGACAGACGAAAAGATATCTATGTAGACATAGCCACTTAGGTATATGATGCACACTCATGGTTGATTTTTGTGCAAAATGGGCATGGCGATGCACAACCCGGCAAACTTGTGCCTCAAATACGGTAGATTGGAATTTTAGGTAGCTTTTATCGTAAATACAATCTTTGAACTGAAAACTTCAACCTTATCATAACGTGGTCGTCATAATGTGGTTTGAAAATGTTTGTTATTATCATATTGTTTTTGAACGAAATTCCGTTCGAATTTCCTTCGCTCTCTCAACTCAGTATTCTCTGAAATTATCGCTAAAAATGTGGAGTCTTCTCAAAAAAATCATATTAGGTATGCCTGCAAAGACACCGCAAATCCGCAATTGAAACCCATTATGGTTTGGGTATTTTTACCATTAATATGGCAGGATCCATGTTCGTACAAAAATCACTTCCCCAGTAAGCATAATGTTTGAAAACCATTTTGCAAAGTCAGAAGAAACTGTTATACATCATTTTTCAGGAGACCCTTTTGAGTAGGTACATTATAAATTAAAATTGCGTGAAAAAGTCTTTAAAAATATTACTATTTCTGTAAGAGTTTGTGGATATATTTTTTTTTTTTCAAACATTTTAACTGGCTAAAAACAAGGGTAGATATTTCAAGGGTGTTTTTTAAAAAAAAATTAAATTTCACATCTCGTAAATTTTACTTAAAAACATTTTCCCAATCAATCCCCTGAAACACCATTTTCATGATAGTTATTTAAAGATTTACCAATTTTTTAAAAGTTTCTCAACAGGCATTGCTATTGTGGTCACAAAATTACCATCAAGTTTTATGCAGGTTTTGAATGTTAAACGAAGTTACATCTAAATGTTACTATAAATTAGTCAGTAGTAATTACTACTGTATCCGTCATCAATAATAATAATAATCCATTGATGGATACAACACGCGTCAATCGAAGAAGGAAAACAGCTATCACGAAAAAAAGTTAAATACATAAAAAAAAAAAAATAAATCATGAGCTATTTATCTACCATCAAATTTATAGATGCGTTTTTCCTCATCTATGAGCAGAATTTTTTCTCGTCTGTGCGTCCACCAATCTAGGTAAAAACTAGATGAAAAAAATAAACAAACAAAATAAGGAAAAAACGTGACTTAAATTTTGTCCAACTGGTGCTTGCTGTGGCGGGATTCCCGACCGGTGTTTCAAATCGCGCATCAAAAAATCAGATTTAATGTCCAACTCGCATTAATCTTATTGGTTTAATTTTGGCGCAACCTCACACCGTAGCGACGTTGTTTTGGCGCGTTTCTTGAACTTTCAACTTCTGCCGCCGTATAAACTCATACACGGAGCCTCCGGGATTTCCCCTAGGATTGGGTCACTCCAGTATCGTTTCGAGGATAATCAATATTTAGCTCTAAACCAAAAAAAAAAATCAACATTTCTACTTATTTAATTTTTTCCGAAGTGTTCCACCAACTTTTGTGGGAGGGAAGCGTATAAATATTATGACACTCTCATCTTAGACTCAAAGTTGTTCGCTCTTCCGAAGCTCTCTCGTTTTTCTGTAAGTACCTTTTTTCTTTCTTTTTTTGGAAGATATTTTATTTAACTTCAACGTAACTACTACAAGAATATTTCTTGTATCTAAGTATATACATAATTTAAAACTAAACGAATTTCATTACATTAAATTTACAAAGTGACGTTATATAGAATCATTCTTAGTACCTATTAAGTGTTAGCATTCCTAACTGTTATCCTTTCTGCTCCTGGTGACTCCCCACTTTGAGGAAAATGTAGAGTTAAAACTACCTATGTCAATGATGTTCCATTTGAGCTCTTGATTGAATCTGTGACCCATTACAATGATATTTTTACTGCAAAAGTAAATTCACCGCAACGTAGATGTAAAAATAGCACTTTTTACACGTATGATCACTATTAAGTAAGCGTTCACATGAAACACCTCTAATGTAGTACTTTTAATCGTTAGCTTTTTCCCAGCGCATCAACGGTGAGAGTCGAATTGTACACATCTCAGTGGCGATTCTGGAAAGTTGGCGACAACTTTTTTCCTCCATTTAAATGCATGTAAAACAATCGATCCTGGGGGAGGCAGTTTGCCTCACCTAGAATCGATATCTTAAATGGATATAAATGGGAAAAAACAGTGCTGCCAACTTGCAAAGTTGTCACTAACACATCTAGATTTACGGCGTTGTAAATTTCTTATCACGCATTATTTTTCATAGAAAAAGCTTTTTTACTCTCAAAATTTTACCGATGTTTGTTCATTCTACACAGATTTTTCTGGACAAATTTTAAACAATAACGTTCCTTTTGTTTTTTCGTGAAAAACGAAATGAACAACCACAATTTTGAATTTTGCCCGGGCTTTTCGACTTTCCTTGGCGATATGTGAATTCAAACTCACGACCTTTCTGTCGTTAAATAGCTTCAACAGTGAGATGCCATTTTTCCGGGTCATTATTTTTTATAACATAGTATATAGGGGAAAACATTTGAATCGTGTATTAATTTACATTTTTTGTTAGTTTTTCGATGCGTCTAATCGCAAAACAGCTACACTAGAAAAAAAGTTGCTTGGATCTAGAGTCCTGACTCTATACAACTTTGACAAGAAAAGTACTCTTGATTCAATCGGATTCTTGCTTGAATCACAAGGAAATTTGCTTAATTTACGAAGCTTGGCTCTCGATTCAAGCAAAAATCCAGTTGAATCGAGAGTAATTTTTCTTGTCAAATTTTTTAAGAGTGTAGACTCTAGATCCAAGCGACTTTTTTCCAGCGCACGTTATAAATATTATCAGAAATCTAGTACGGCGGGCTGATTATTGAAAGTGTTAGACAAAGCTATAGACAAAGGAAACTTAGGGAGCATGGCGCGATCCTATTGGTTGAAACGAGTGGTTTTTACAGACCATGGGGGAAAATGATGAACTAACAGTAGGGTCTCTCGTGGTTAATTAGTCTATTACTTACCTTCTCTGTCCATTGCAACCTTTACTTCCACCGATGGGATTCGCATTATATTCAGTTGGTCAGCTTTGTCTATCGCTCTGTCTATCAATTTCAATAGGTAATCAGCTCACCGGCTCCTATGCATGCCATGAGATCCTAAGAATCCTGAAAAATCAGTAGTATATTAACCACTGGTTTCTTTTCAGAACGCCACACGGAGGAGCGAGTCAATCAGAAAAGTCGGACATGCAATTTTTGACTGAAACGGAAAATTTTGATGATTATTTCGTCACGTTTAAAACTTTAAAAGGTGCTTCTGGAAGAAAATTTTACGAGGAAAGCAATGGAACCACATTTAGAGCCTTAAAATTGTGAATAAACGGAGCTGTAAGGTTCTAAAGTTTCCAAATTTTGTCCGACCTCTGCTATTGACTCGATCCACTGTGCGCCAGCATCTTCCATCAATTGCTCGAATTTTAATAGAATCTTCTATTTACTCTATCGCAGGTTGACCGTGCTCCAAACCGAAGTCACCATGATGCAAAAGATATTTTTCTTCTTCTTCCTCGCCCTGGTGGCCCTCTCCATGGTCGCCGTCAATGTCTCCGCGTGCCTCTCCAAAGGTGCCGGTTGCAAAGGTGACGGTTCTTTAGGAAACTGTTGCTCTGGTTTCTGCTGGCAAGCCAACGCAGGTTCCATAGGTTCCTGCACATAGGCGTCCACTATCACCACCAGCTCCAACCAATCATCACGCAGTTCCCTGTCTTTTCACCCATCAATGTACATACCGAAAATCATTATCAATCAGCATAGTCCGTCTCGTACTTGAGCCTACTCTATAGGCCCCCATGCAAAACAATGTATATCAGTTTGATCCATGTGTACAGTAAATAAAATGGATACTCGCCATCACCAAACCGACTGACTTTTATAAATATTTGTTCCTTCCCACCAGATATGCATTGAAGTACCGCCGTGCTAGGTAAGAATGTCGAAGAAGCCATCAGGCGTTGCCAAATTTCCTTCAAAAAATCGCGTAATTTTAGGAAAATTTGTGAATATTTCCCCTCCGATATTTCTGGGGATTTTGTTCGTAATTTGATCGACAAAATCTTAAAATTTCAAGGAAAAATATTCATAACTTTCCTTTAAAAAACATATTTTTCAAGGAAGAAATTTGGCAACATTTGAATGCTTATACGACGTTTTTCCTTAGCGCGGCAGAATAGATCCCGCATTTCAGATAAGTTTACTTTTAATCTTCTGCGTGCGCGTGGATACTGTGATACCTAGCTGTTTTCGAAAAGTATGCTTATTTGGAACAGGGTCTTGCAGAAAGAAATCGACGGCTAACTTCTTTTTCCTCATAAAATTTCAGGTTTATCAAAAATCTTCATCGCTCCCGTCATTTAAGGTGCCCGACTTTATGGCTCCTAAACTTTTATTTTGAATTTTACTTATGTGCCTCAATTTCAAAATTTTCTAATTTACTTATATTTGAAGATTTATAACGTAGTAGCACCTTGATTCAATCTACCGATAATATTTTACGTGTTTGCAAACTGCAGAGATCATTCCGTCGCCCGGCTAACAAAAAGGCGTAACTACACATTGAGTTGAGCCCGATTAAGAACTGAGTTAAATGGACTATAGGGCTCATCGCAAAATGCATGTGCGCCTATATGACAGGAGGGCGACGATATATGAATATATTATATTCTAAACTATTCTAAATTTTAAGGTACAGTTAACGCACTGGTGTTAGTTTGGAGTATCGAGTGTATAGATTTAACGAGAATCGACATATCTGCATTACCTGTTGTCTCATTACCTCTCTTATTTTAGTCCTCCAGAATAACCTGCTGTAAAAACTGCCCGCGCATTTTCTTTGGATTGTAGAGACTGTTCTTGAGAAATTGTAGAATCGAATGATTTCGAAGAAAAGGAAACATTTAATGCAGTAGGGCTATGGTTATGGTTAATGCCTCTCAACTATCATCATCACAAATTTTAATAGTCTTGCCTGGCGGATCTTTGTGAAAATTAAAGTTTAATTAGAAAGTCACTCCAGCTCGTATCTAAATTGGAAAATCAGAATTCGGTCGATAATTTCACGTTTCACTTCAGCATTATGTGCGTGGATCATCTAGGTTTACATATCGATCATGAAATTCTGAAACCATTTATCTCGCTTTGCGACGTTGCAGACTACCTTTTGTACTTCAGCTTTCTATTCAGTTCACTATTCAACGTCAATAATTGAAATAGCCTCCATACACGCTGGGTTTGTCGATTTCCTTTGACATTTTTGCAGTGGTGAATGCATAGCTGAAGTGCGCTCCAGGTAGAATTGTATTTAGCAAATGTGTGGTTTTTATACGAGGATTAAAAATAAACAAGTGGTACGGAATAAAACAAAAGAATATGAACTATTCAAAACGATAATCCGGGTATCGGAACTTGGCTGTCTTGAAAACGCCTTCAAATGCGGCGTGATACCTCACGCATTCCGGAGGGTTCAAATAGTTGTATCATTGCGCCGTGAGAATGTGACGGAAGATTAGAATAATTGAAATAGCCTCCATACACGCTGGGCTTGTCGATTTCCTTTGACATTTTTGCAGTGGTGAATGCATAGCTGAAGTGCGCTCCAGGTAGAATTGTCTTTAGCAAATGGGTGGTTTTTATACGAGGATTAAAAATAAACAAGTGGTACGGAATATAACAAAAGAATATGAACTATTCAAAACGATAATCCGGGTATCGGAACTTGGCTGTCTTGAAAACGCCTTCAAATGCGGCGTGATACCTCACGCATTCCGGAGAGTTCAAATAGTTGTATCATTGCGCCGTAAGAATGTGACGGAAGATTACAATTGAGGACACCGCACCAAGAACAGAGGTCGTTATTACGCCCATCTGCTTTTCGGATTCTACGTACCCTGGACTATGCTGTGCTAGCGATAGAATATAGATAGGTAACGGCTCGAGGTCGAAAAACCTTTTTTTTTCCGAGTTAGGTCAGGCCTCTGGATCGATGGATGCAAGAACGACCTATAAACGGGCCTATAAACTTAAGGGCCTATAAGGTGCTAGTTACCCTTTCCTTTACTCACTATCGATATTCTTTCATTTTGCGTTAATCATGCGTGATTAAAATGATTTATACTTCATATTGCCACCAAAATGACTGTTGGGCGTAATAATGGCCTATAAACCGCTTTTTTAAATTAAATATATTAGAGTGTAAACCAAAAATGTATTGCAAAATCTACCCCGCATCCTTCAATAGAAGGGTTAGGTCACCCAAAAACACCAAAACAGGGTACCTACTTAGAAAAGTCTGCGCAGTACATCAAAAACAAAACTTTAAATGCGTTTTTCTCAAAACGCGGTTTCCAGTTACAGGCTGTTCTTGGTGCGGTGTCCTCAATTCATAAAAACCTTCTTGATTTTTCTTCTCTGCACGAAGAAAATTCTGTGAGACCCTCATAACACTTCAAGGAATAGTCTTGATTTATTCTCCTTCGGACAAATAAAAAAGGTGCGTAGATTTTGTAGCACGGCAATGGAGATACTTACGTGCTTTGGGAATTTCATCATCGATATATATTAAGCATCTTCCATCAAGCATCTAGGGTCTCCCTAGAGATTATCTTCCTCTGAGTTTAAAATCCGATTTTGAACAAAAAATCCCAGGTTTAATTGTTAAAAATGTTTCTCAGATGCGAAATCAGATTACGAAGACTCCACTTCCTTTATTTTTTGTGGATTTTTTGAGTAATGTACATGTTGCCAAAATATGGCAAATAAAATCCATTAAGGATTTTATTGTTTCACTTGAGCGTCCTAAGGGACGTAGGGAGGTCATCCAGTGTAAGAACTGCCTCGCCTTTGGGCACTCTCGATCACGATGCTATCGTGATCCTCGGTGCCTGCTGTGCGGGGATTTTCATGCCCTGGCTGACTGCCCGCGTCCCCAGGAATGCCAAGAAATACAACTCCCTGTGTTTCCCTCATGCGTTCACTGTGGTGAGATGCATGTGGGAAACTACAGGGGTTGTAAAGTTTACAAACAAATACGCAAAAAGCGTATGGGTAAAAAGCCTAAAGACGAAAAATTCGTCAATCATCAATTCGTACCCCTTAGAAATTTAACTGTGCAGGGCAAGTCGTATGCTAGTGCTTTAGCTGGAGCTAAACCGCAATCAAAAGACGCTTCACAGCCAATTATCAATGTTCAAGTTCCTAATAGTAATCTAAGTACTGTTTCTTTTTCAGATAAGCGTATAAAGACTCTAGAGGAGTTAGTTTTAAAGCAATCTGAGCAGATTGAACGTATGATGAAGGTTATCGAGGCCTTTCTCCCCGCCCTCGTGCGGGGAGCATCTCTCTCGATGCCGTAATCTGCGTTCATCTCGTTTCCTCATGTCTTGATAGGCATCTTTTCATTTTCTGTTTTTTCGTAATTGTCTTGTCGAAGTTTTGAGGTCATAAATTCCTCGCTCCTATCAGTATTATTATTTAAGGTGTTTTTTCTCCTTTGATTAGGTTTTTTGCACCTTATATTTTTAGCTTTGCGCATTTATCCTTTGTTTGTAAATATAGTATACTATAACTTTTCTCAATTTAACTACTTTAGCTCTTAAGTTAAGCTTACCATATTAGTTTATTACATCATATTAATAATCTAAATTTATGTTAATCTACTAGTTTAAGGCAGTGACTATATAACCGAGCAGTTCAAAGTCCTGTAATTTATTGTATTTTGATGCAAATAAATTGAATTTAAACAAAAAAAAAAAAAATATATTAAGCATGATGTCTAATTTATCGTGCGAAGGAAGCAGCTCCGCTTTGGTTATGTCTCGAGATCATGAAGTAACCATCACCGCATTCTCCTGAGCAGTGATATATTGGCCGAGCTGACGTGAATGCAGAATAAATTGCTAACTGACATTTTGAAGGCGTCTCTGTCATGAACATTTTGTTCATTGCCTCCCTTCTTTTCACGCGATATTTTAGGGATTTTTTTTCCAATACCGGAAATTATTCAATGTGACATTCCGGGGAAAAATCTTTAGTTCCTCTATAATAATAATATTCTAAGAAATATTTTCATAAATCGCGGACCATTTCTGATCAGTTTAATGGTTACGACTCTTTTAAATGTTGCATGGCTTTAATGCAATATTTTATGCAGCCTTAATGCAACGAGATAAACGCAGTCTGGGGGTTTCACGGTTGATATGCGTTTTTGCAGTTGTATCGTCTATTAGAACATAGTCGATTGATTGTTAGAACAACATTTAGTTTAGGTAATTTAAAACACTATTCTTTCCCTATTGAGATAAGTTAAGAATTTAGTAATAATAATTTAGCATAACCGACAAAACTTCATTATAATTATAGCTTCTGACTATGTAAAAGTAAACAAATGTGGTAGCTTACCATCGAGGATAGCTACCACATCTGCTTACCATTGTACCTCGATAAAAATGACAACTATCACGTTATGTAAAAGTAACCAGGCAGCGCGAAGCTGGTTCCGGCGTATTTGACCGAGTAAAATGACTCTCTGTCGACGGACCGAAACTCACATCACCATGAAAAGCGGTTCCTAATCCAGCTCCCATTAATTCGTTTTCTGCATAATTGTTAGAGAGCTTCGCACTTCAAACGTTGAGCGCGCTGCGCGTCGGTGCGGATATAAAATTTAAATTCCAGATGCCAACTCGAGTGCCGAAAATCTCTCCGTTCCTTCACATGTCGGCCACTCTCTAAATTTGCGATCCACCGAATGCCACGTCGCTTCGTTTTTGCTAAACACCAAAAGTGCCACGGCTCCCATCTCAAAGAAACAAAACAAACTGTGCTGCGCTGCGAGTTCGCACTAAAATGGACGGTTCTACTAAACCATAAAAAAAATTATTTCCGTGGCATTTTTTAAACAAGATGCGCTGATTTAAAGAATATCAAACATCAGGTGTGTGAAATGGATAGATAATTTATTTACATATAAAAACATCGACAAGGAGACATGTTTTATTAATATCTACGCTTTTCTTATGTATGCACGTTTGTTACATCAAATTGTTTGCTATCTTTAAATTCTGAGAACGCGATTTTCTCCCACCGCTACAGTTATCGCTCTCAATGGAAAAAACATGTATGAACTTCGGGGCGATTTCATCTTTAAATTCTGTTGTACAAATATTTCCGATCTCTTCGGGCCTTGGATACTTTTAAGTTATTGGGCTGGCCTTTAGGGTAGGATATGTCTTCATCCGCAGTAACTCGAGCTTAGACTGCAGCGTCGATACGTTAGCGTCAAGTTGCTGAATTTCTGTCAGGAGAGTGCCTCGGCGGGATATCAGCAGCAATCTGCAGAAAGGATACTTCAAATTACACTTCGAGAGACAATAGCAAATTTTTTCTTATTATGAGTGGCAATCCGCAACATCACAGTTGGAAATACGAATTTTTCTGCTTTCCGTTGCAATTAAGTAGGTATGACTTATAGTGCATATTTGAAGAAATGGGGTGCAAGCGGAAATTTTGAAACGACCAAATAAAAGTGCGTTATCCTTAAAAACACAAAGACAATTTTTGGTAAAACCACACTCACTTGCGTAAAAAATTGTTTTTAAAATAACGGGACGCGTGAGTCGCGGCTGAGGATGGGAGCTAAGGTCCCGAAATGCGTCCCGTTATTTTAAAAACAATTTTTTACGCAAGTGAGTGTGGTTTTACCAGAAATTGTCTTGTGTTTTTAAGGAACTTTACCTTGTGTAGGCCCCTAACGGTATTCAAAGTGAAAAGTGCCTTATGTATGTCGAAGGCGATTAGTCAAATCAGGCATTTTATCAAATGCCTAGGCCGGTAGTCAAATTTTGACAGTTTACGGAATTCTGTAAATGTATGGCGAGGAGTTCACGGGTTCTCAATATTTTGGGGAGGTTACCTCTTCAAATCTGCGAACTCTCCTTGTTCCTCCCTTTTTACATGTCTTCAGTACATTTAAATCTTAAAATTTTAAAAATTCTATGTTTTATGATGCGTTGAAAATTTCATGATAAATATGCACTCAGGATCAAAAATTCGTTTAAAACACTATTGTATGCTGCATATTTTTACAGAGAATTCTTTTTTACAGGAGCAACGAATCATTTTGTCTAAAATTAGGGTAAAATATCAAAATTTCAATCTAAGTAAGAATATTTAACTATTTGTCTAGGCATTTGACAAAATGACTGATTTGACTATTGGGCTTCGACACATACAAAGAAGTGCTGCTCGCACCTGTGCCTTGTGACGTCATTTAGTGTCTCTTCAAATTTGAAATCCCTCCTTTGCTTCAGCTGGGTTATTTTTTTGGAAATATCTTTCATTCTCTCTTCCATTCTTTTGTTATCATCTTTTATCCGATTGATCCTTCTTTCGGTTCGGTCCGTTTCCTCTATAACGAGCCGCATTTTCTTTCTCAGGGACTGTAAATAAAAAGAACGTAAGAGCGTTATTTCGTCGCCCGGCTGTCAAAAGAGCGTAAATACACCTTGAGTTGAGCCCGGGATAACATAAAATTCGGTGACGAGGCGTGCTTTGCGACGTATAATATATAGCTTGACATGCCATTCAAACCTGTGGAAAAGGATCGATAAACAGTAGGGTGGCTAACAAAAGATGAATTTCGGAATTTTATAGCCTTAACCCTCTGAATCGGTTACAGCATGTTCAAAAACACGGTAAATGAAATGTGGGGTCAATCGGACAAAATTAACCCGAATGCCAGTGACTGGCACTGGCATTCATTCTTACGGCCCTTAACTAACGAGCAGACTCCTTTTTCCCCACATGTCTCTGATTTCTTTTAAAATACTTATAAATAGTAAATAAATACGTCCAAATATGTGAAAAAGAGCATTCAATTGGGTCAGGCAGTCAACCGTCTTAGATTTCGAAAGTCTCAAGATAACATTTTTGGCAATTTCTGCCAGTACGGTTTTTGGAATTTTAAAAATTTGAGTTGAGATTCAAGTTCCTCGTTAAAAAATACCCCCTGACACCATGACGGTAATAGGCAAGTTTCATACGTTAGTGCGCCTTCAATTACATTTGATACCGTGCAATACTTTCGTGGTGGAATAGTTGCATTGGCGCCTACAAACCTAACAGGGATACTGCATGCATTGCGCAATGAGTGAAGTATCCCTGTTAGGTTTGTAGGTGCCAATGCAACTATTCCACCACGAAAGTATTGCACAGTATCCAATGTAATTGAGGGCGCATTAACTTATGAACATTGACTATTACCGTCAACCACTGTTTGCCAAGTGGTAACTTCACGCCGACTAAAACATTTTACAGGGTCCAAATTTTCAAAAAAGATACTCATGATATAATCACCGTGTTTTAGCGCACTTTTTCGATGGCTCCTCATTTTTTTTTTTTTTTTTAGGTCTAGAGAGATGATATTGAAATAAGTCGAAATTCACGATTTTGCTCAGAAAAATGGCAGTCGCAGCGTGTCAAAATTATCAAAAGGGGAGCATTGGGAGCATTGGGAGCATTGGGAGCATTGGGAGCATCTAAGCTACTAATTTCACACTCTGATTACAATTTAGGCATGTTTAAAGTTAATTTATCGAGAGGGGAAAATCATCAAAAACAGTAAAAAATTCGCTATTTTCGTGCGTGAAAATGGCAACCGCGCGTCGGGTCAAAAGCATGGAGGGGGACCAAAACTTCACTAGGGTGTAGTTGGTATACTTGGCGTTTTTCTGCTCCAAAATGTTCGTAGAATACTTCTCTCTGCTCTGGCATTAATAATAACTCGATTTGGAGTCTTTGTGGACTGAGGTCATCTTCCTCGCAGATAATCGCATATTCAAAATGTCCACTCAAAAAGTTTCATTGACGGATCCAGAAAGTTGGCAACATTGTTTTTTTCTCTATGAAAGTCTATGGATATGTATCGATTCTCGAAGGGATCAGGTGCTCTACCAAGAATCGTATATTCAACACAGGTTCGGATGGTAGAGAGCCAGTGTTGTCAACTAGTTGGATCTAGAGTCCCTTTATACTGAGAGTCAAGCCAATGTGAATCCATTTCTGATTGGTTCCCGTATTTTAGGCCTTCACAGTGTCACAAACGGGAATAAAGATTACATTATCACCGATTGCAATGGTTATAATCTGGAAAGGACCAGGGAATAACGGGTCCGGCAAGGAACAAACGGAATGAGAGAAGGAACGGAGAAAGGAATTTAAGAATGGGCCGATCAAAGATTACAAAAAACGCTCAATTCCTGTAATCTATATTCCCGTTTGTGACTCCATGATGGGGTGTCGTCTTAACTCTCAGTATAAAGGGACTCTAGTTGGATCTTTTAACAGCTTAAACGGATCAGAGATGTCACCCACCAAGTAATTAGAAAGGAGGAAAATGTAGGTGGTACAAACCTCTCGTAAAGCCATTGCTTTGGCATCCATATCGATTCCTTCCTTTTCACGCGGGTCCATTCCACCCGAGAATTTTTGAAGATTCTCGAAGATTTCTTTGGTGACCTGCGCTCAGATGTAAATGCATTCATAGTTTAAGCACCATTAGGCATGATTATTTGGACTTATTCGCCAAAGAATGAAAAGTAAAGAAGAGTATTAATTAAATCCGTAGTGGCGTGGCGTGCTCAGCGATATATCGATTGCTCTGCCATTTAAACCTATGGAAAAGGATCGATAAACAGGGTGTTCGCAATGAACACCTTAATTATCGATTCTTTACCACGGCCTCTAATGGGGGAATATCGATAATTGATAAATCACGCCTCACCCTTGATAAAATTGTATGAACGACAGGGTTCAATGCTGATTGTAGTTACGCCCTTATATCAGGAGGGCAACGAACATCTTAATAATTCGTTCTTCACCACAGCTGGTGAGGCTTCACCCAATGAGGAAATATCGATCATCGATCATACACGCCTTGCCACTATGTAACTGCAATTCGGATTCCCGTGGCTTTGGTCCATAAAGTTGGTCCAAAAATTGGAGAAAAATGACGAGTAGCTGAAAAAATGGAACCAAATGATGCGATATATCGCATGCCGTTCTGACACAAAATATGACGTCCATCGAATCACCTTAACATTGAATGCAGAAAGTTGCGGTTTGGACAGACCTTATTATTTTTCGTTACTCTACAAGAATGAAGAATCAAAACACAATTCTGTGACCAGCGCAACTGACCCATTTAGTGATTTTTACTCACTTTAAATTTTTCCAAGTATTGGAGCCGCTTCTCTAGATTTTCAATGCGGTTCGTCAATTTATCGTATTCCCATTGGAGATTTACTATTTGGCCGTTGAATTTTATCATTCTTTCGAGAGCTGCTATTTTCTTTGCACCTGCTTTCTGTAAAACAAATATCAACAGTTGGACTGCATTTTGCAATTTGGAACTATAAATTCTGGCCCGGTTTAAAAACAACGTAAGTGCTATTAGTTTCCCTATGCACATAAGTGTTTTTTCAGATGAGCCAGAATTTACAGTTCCAAATTGCAAAATGCAGTCCAGTTAAGGATCAGTTGAAAATGGACCAGGATTAGCGCATATAAGTTCCAACATAAAAATCGACGGTGTAAGTCGGAAATCGCATAACTCGTTTGCGGTTTCTGAAAATCTCCGCCTCTCTGTTATTTCTTTAAAGGAGAACAAATTGATATTATTCCTTGAAGTTTTTGCAGAATTTTCTTCGTACAGAGAGGAAAAATCACGGCAGTTTTAAAGAATTGCCGTTGAGTGGTTTTCCGTTTAAAACATCAAGTATGATTGGAAGTCTGCGACGTCGCAAACCGAGTTATGTGATTGCCGACTTGCACCGTCGAATTGCTTTGGATTACGCTATATCGCGCTTAAGAGGTATATACCCTTTTGTAAGCAACCTTTCACAATGGTTTTGAAGCAACAACAAAAAAAATGCAACAAAAATGTACCCAAAAACGGTTTGCACGGAGTGAGTATACGGTAAATGATTGAGTCCTGGGTAAAATTATGCCAAGAAATGCCATTCGTGCCATTTCATCAACGATTTTTAGTCCGCGCGCCTGTTTTTTCCAGTAGTTTACGTCCATACATTTTTTCGGCACGAGAGTTTTGGTCCACGTACCAATAAATTGAGACCCAAAGCTAATTGGTCTACATGTAAATACAAACGACAATTATTGCTCACGACGTTTTTGGATAGAAATTTATAATGTCTTGGAAGAATAAGGGTTTGCTTGTTTTTTGTTATTCGTTTGATCCAACGGCAAAATCGATGGTGTAAGTCGGCAATCACACAACTCGGTTTGCGATGTCGCAGATTTCCTGTCATACTTTACTTTTTATACGGAAAACTACTTAACGGCAATTCTTTAAAACTGCCGTGATTTTCCCTCTCTGTGCGAAGAAAATTCTGCAGAAACTTCAAGGAATAATGTCAATTTGTGCTCCTTTAAAGAAATAAAATAGAGGTGGAGATTTTCAGACACTGCAAACAAGATATGTGATGACGGACCTACGCCGGCCGTCCATATAATTGAGATTTTTGGTAACAATGGGGGATCGTCTGTTCCATGAGGGAAAATTTACTAAAACTCTCTACGACTCTTTGGTGGAACAGGACTTAATTACCTTCCAGAAATTCCTATGTTGTTATACCTGAACCGGATAAACCTTTTGATTTGCCTCAGCTATGGGCTCTTAGATTTTTTCTGAGTACAACTTCGCGACGGCCGGCGTCGGCTTGCCGAGGCGCTTCGAGCTATACCATTTTGCAATGAAGGTGTACGAGATTGAAGGCATCCCAACGTATCATGATTGATGGATGGCATCTTTCAAATGCACGAAGCTCCCTTGCAAATTCAATCGGAGAGCGGTAGTTTAAAAACTTAAAAAGTCCTAGTATCCGTATTCAATAACGTTTAGCATGCTTTTTGAACTTCGTTAGAGGTGAAAGTCCTTTGAATCAAGCAGAAATATGCTCAAATTCACCGACGGGAAGATTGCGTGATGAATTAAGAAAGAAAAGAATGCTTGTGTCGAGAAGGAAAGATGCTTCTGTAAAAAGAAAAGTCCGTTACATTAAGCAGATACCCGCTTCCATTCAGCGATTTTATTCTTGATTCAAAACAAAATCTTCTTGACTGCATACTTAAGAACTTTTCTGCCTAAATCGAGTCATTTTTTCTCTAATGATATTCCAAAATTATGTTGAACGTTATTCAATACGGATGCTAGGACTTAGTGAGTTTTTGGACTACCGCTCTCTTTTTGTGCCGTAGTATATTGATTTATTTTGCGAAGAAAGCCCTGTACTCTTAAATAGTGCCTGTCATTCTTAATATGCTGGAGCGCCCTCAATTTCGTGTGATATTGTGCAACACCTCTGTTGTCAAATAGTTGCTTGAGGCGCCGCACCATGGCATGCTGTGGCGCGGCAGGCGGGCGGCCAGCACGCAACGCGCATTGGCGCCTACAAACCTAAGGGGACACTTCAACCATTGCGCAATACGTGAAGTATCCCCTTAGGTTTGTAGGCGCCTGTGCGCGTCTCGCACCGGCGGCACGCCACTCCGCTCTGTGTTTGGCCGTAATATTTAAACTCGTGAAGTCAGCAATTTTCCCCTCATGATTTTAAAATGTTTGCACACTCTGCTTGTCTGCTTGTCTGTTTGCTCTCTTTTAAAGTAATGAAAACAAATATGTACTAAAGGAAAATATAATGTGCGTTTTGTAAATTTTAAGGTCGTTCCGTGTCAAATTTAATGATTTCCAAAGCTTTGTAATTTTTTCCTCTATATTTTATGCTTTTACTGTGCTGCTAGGTGTGGTGTATGCGCAACCAAACGCTCAAAATTGGACGTACTTGACACTACAAAATTGATGTACGAATGGGTTACAACCAAAGATTGCATGCCTCTTGGATTTCTCCCCTCTTTTATTCATTATTGTTTAGTTTCTTAAACTACGGCTCGTTGAGATTAATATCGATGCCATAGCTTGGAAAATGTTAGGAGGGTAGATATGGGGATATACCAACATCAATGTTGCCAACTTGTGCGGAAAAAAATCGTGATTAATTTGGGGTGGTGGGTGTTTTAGTGGATGATATGGCAAAAATGTTTTCATGTTATGACGTTACCAACGTTGTAAAATTGTGCAGAAAAATCGGAATTAATGGGGGATGTTTTAGTGTATGAAATGGCAGCCATGTTTTCATGTCGCGACGTCACCAGTGTTGTAAAATTGAGCGGGAAAATCTGATTTAACCAGGGGGTCGGGTGTGGATTAGTGCACGGGGTATGGAATCCGTGGTTATTGTTGCGGGTTGCCTGAGCGTTAAGGGGGGCTACCATTACGTGACGTCATTAACAATGTTACTAAATTTCCGACCCCGCTGGCGATCCCGATTTTACCGAATAAAAAGCTAAATTACGAAATTTTACATCTTCTTTCCTCCTTTCTTCTTTCTTTCTTTTCTTTCTTTTCTTAAGTTTGGTTATTTTTTTTCATTTGTTTCTTTTTTTAATAATTTATTTTTTTTCCATTTTCCCAGGTCTCACTCCAGTCGTCGACAACATGCAGCTCACTACAATTATTTCTTCTCATTTCACGGCCTGGGTTGGCAACTCGGACCCCAAACTTATAATGATCAATATACTCGGGCCAGCGGGGGCATTGGAAGCTCTCACCTTAGCACGGATTGCAGATGAGGTGCGGGGTTGGCTATCCACCTATACGAAACGCAGGACTCACGCGGGAGGACACACCCGAGGGCTATATCGTCGAAGATATAAGCTTCATGCTTAAATATTGGCCGGTGCTCGGTGAGAGGAGTCTATCTCTGGTAATTTAGGGTTAAATGGAGATGTTGCATGTGTGAGGAATTTGCGATTTGACTGTTGATTCTTATGTAAAAGTTCGCGAGAAACACGATGGTGCCAATGGTTCTCTCTGAAATCAATTCCCAAGCTCACAAAAAGCTCTCAAGTTGAGGCCAAAATGGAGGGTATATCCCACGCTACCCTGAGAGTCCACCTCTACATCAAGACAAACTCTCGATGCAAAGATAGGGAGCAAATACATTGACAGGGCTGCCACTTTATTTGGGGACTCTAAAACTGAAAACACGGCAACCCTGCCGGACGTGGACTCTCAGGGTAGGGTGGGATACCCCTCCATTTTGGTCTCAACTTGAGAGCTTTTTTTGAGCTTGGGAGTTGATTTCAGAGAAAACCAGTGGCACCATCGTGTTTCTCGCAAACTTTAACATAAGAAACAACAGTCAAATCGCTAATTCCTCACACGTGCAACATCTCCATTCGAAGATTAACACCTGTTAATTTTCGGATTTAGCCCGATCAGAGATAGGTTCCTGCATATACACAATATGGTTCATTATAAATTTGCCGATAAAATTGACTAAAATTCCAGGGCGTTCACATTGAGACATCGCGCGCTTTTCTGATGAGTAAGTAAAATCCTCGAGAACGTAAAGTTTCATTAAAATCGCGGTTTCCAAATGAGTAGATTCACAATGATTTGCTGTGGATTTTGAATCTCATTCTGTACACAAGCTAATTAATTTACTTTATGATTCTCTGGTCTAGGCTTCAATTGCGATCGTGCGTTTAGTGACAAAAACAACTTACATGAAGAACTCTGTTGAGTTGTTTGATAGAGTTTCGTGTGAGTAAAATAGTATTATCAAAATCCGAAATCTGCCCGGAAATTGGAACTTCCAAAATTGCTTGCTTCAAAACAATCTGCAACTACATAAAATAAAGAGGGTGTCACTATGGTCTATCTTGAGCTTTAGCTTCTGCAAAAAAAGTATGGAGACGTTTGCGACTTTAAAAAATTTCAACACACCTTCGTCCGGACTCAAAAGAAGTCAACTACATAGTCGGTAGTGAGGAACAAAAATTTTACTTAAAGATAGTTTTTGCAATAGATAAAGGTAGTCAAAAATTATGGAGATTTTACACCACGGTGATGTGTGTGAACTCGCGTGTATTGGAGCTCTTTCATTCAGACCCTACGCAGTGGCTCATAGATCATAGTAGCTCTAAAAGTTTGACTGACCCAGCATTTAGTGTTCATTAATTTTCACTTACCTGAATATTTTGCTGGAAATGAGTGCGTTCACTTGACTGCCGTTCCAGCTGATTTGCTATTTGACCGATTTTTTCCTTTGCTGGTTTTATGCTTTGCGAAAACATGTTAACTGAGGATTCCGCCTCGGCCAGCTCGACACAAATAGCTTTTATCTGAAACCGAAATAAATTCACTATGCCGAGGAACTACGAGAAAGTAGTACTCGAATGATGCCCAAAGTTTATATTGCTAACTTGATATTAATTTAAAAAAAAAATACAACCAACAATTTAATCTTTTGCGTCTGAAAGTGTCAGGAGAAAGTATCAATAGCTTCCCTCAACAAATAAATATTATAATAAAGATTTTCGGTAACCCTTGAACACTCAAACGGTGCTCTCTTCATAACTGCTAGCCATGGTTCTCTGAACCGCTGTAAAAATAATGCGGTGTCAAATAGTGTGTGTCTAGTCGCAAGAATGCTACTATTCTAACACCGAGGAGCTGTTTTTGCATATCCGGTCAAAATGAAGGCAAATAGTGCTTTGTAACATGGAATGGTTTCAGCAGTGACAGTGTTGTTTGCCCTCATTCAGATCGATGAGAGTTTTATGACGTTTTGTCTCATAATATTTAGTAAAGATACTTTACGAATTTTGATTCAATTTCTTGAACAACTTTGTGAACCATGATATTTATTTCTTATCAAAGATATCAGCTGCGTACCAGGACACTGTGGTAGTGTTTTCTGTTTTTAGATCATTTAAACTCACCCAAATCATGAAAAATGAAAATGAACGAACATTCCCTGCATTTTATCGTCTATCGTTTAGCACGTTATTAACCATAGTTTGATCAAATATCATAAAATTCTCTCACTAAAACCAGGAGGGTGAATAAAATGCGATCTTAAACATACCACTACCAATGAGGCAACTCGTTTTTTCCCCGACGAGGGAACGTAACTCAATTCCAAGGTTGCAACATTGACTCTAACGATTTAATTTTTTACGAGAAAACACCCGGCAATTTTTCTCTGAATTTTTCTGATTTTTGCACGAGATCGGAAGAAAAATCAGCGAAATTCTTGGTCAGAAATGCCTGAGATTCTCCTGATAGAAATGAATTTTGTAAAGGGAAATTAGGCAACATTGAAATGTAGTTACGTTGTTTCGAAAGGGACACGACGAACAGAGGTTAAATAATTTAATTTCAAAGTCACTTTGCGATAAGTGAACCCTACCTTGAGTTCCGATTTGATTTTTTGTCTGCGCAGCTCGCAAAAACACTCCCATTTTGACTCATTGACCAGATGGGATGCAAAGTTGTAGCTATCATACTGTTCCAGGATCCGAAGGTACTCAACACATTCGGGGGGTAAGAAAGTGTTTAAATTTCGATGGACTACGCATTGAGCTAGTTGCATGATGACTGCCGTCGGGGCTGTGGCTGTCTCTAATAATTTTGGCCGTTTTCTGGAGGAGAAAGTTAATTTTAAAGATTAGAAAATTTCCGCAAACACGCAGGATCAATGTTTAAAAGTTTCCGCCGCCATTTTATTTTTTTAAAGAGAAATTGTTGGTTGTATCTGTTTCAAAATTTCACTAAATTTTATCGGCAGCCTAAAAAAAAATTTAGTGGAATTTTAGGACAGTTTCGTTTGTGAACAATTTTTCTGTAAATAAATAAAAAGGCGACGGAAATTTTTAAACGTCGCACAGTAAACTGCAAGTTTCTATGTTTATTTCGCCACATATTCTAATTCAAAGGGTGCTTTAAGAAGAAAATTTCACGAAGGAACCAATACAGCCAATTTTAGAACCTCACACTTCACAGCTTCGTATAAACGGATATATAAACGCGTAAAGTTTCCAAATTTTTTCTGACCTCTCCTATAGACTCGACCCACTAAGCGTCGCATGGTGCTTATGATACTTTGGTCGGAAGGTGACTAAGTGTTTTCCTACTCATCAAGGTGTTGGAAAATAAAATGTTTTTCACCATGGTTATTATGGCCAACTGCATTGGACGAATGGGGAGTTGTTGCACGCAGCGTAAGTCTATAAGCTTCCTTGGTTGTTCCCGACTAGGATAACCTAGAGTCAAAGCGGGTATTCGCATTCCCGTCTTACGCGGAGAGGCGATGGACCAATCAGAAAATGGACTATCCACGGATCGCCGTATGAAAAAGTATTGGAGCTGGATAGTCCATTTTCTGATTGGTCACGCGATTTGAAACGTGCAATAACACGTCCATAAGGGAAGAATTGGAGGGATTTTAGTGGTAAATTTCTCGAAAACCTGCCGATTTACTATCGCCGAAACTTTAATAGTCCAAAGATCTGAGCACTAAAATGCTGATTAAATCGACGGAACGTTGAAAAACTGACTGAAATTCAAGGAGTAGCAGACTACCAGCAACGGTATCGCCCATTTCAACACTAGTAATTTTGAAGGATCTGGACGAGCGGACAGTCCATTTTTGGTGATATTGGTCCATTTTTGGTCCATTTATGATGCGAGTGCCGATGCCCACTTTGATTATAGGTCATCCCATTCCCGGCTCATTAAGCTTTTGGAAAATAAGATGTTTCTTATCGCAGACTGGATTGGACGAATCGGTAATCGGTAGTTGTCACGACATGAAATGGTTTACTTTTCTACTGTAGCGTTTAAGTCTCCAAGCTCTCTTATGTACTCCGGACTCCTTAAGGTGTTGGAAAATAAGATATTTTTACCGTTGCTTTCATGGCCAACTGGATTGTACGAATAAGGATTTGTAACGTCATGAAATGATTTACGTTTCTACGCAGTGTTTAAGTCTCTATACTTTCAAGTTTGCTCCCGACTCAAAGGTAGTCCACATCGACCACATGCTGCATTTTGGAACTACAATTCCTGGCTCAGCTCAGAAACGACGCATGCGCTATTAGTTTCCTTACGCACATGCGTGTTTTTACGAATGAGCCAGAACTTGTAGTTCCTAATTGCAAAATGTAGCCCATTTCATAGTTCAATCGCTCATACAAGAGAAATTAGCGTCCAAACATTGCTCTCGAAAAAAAAAAACCTTTAGTTATTGTATCAATTAAGCAGAAACAATGCATTATTTCAATATGCATCACTGTGTTATCACTACGCAGATGATGGACGGATGAGTCAATTGTGAGATCGTGTATTTTGCTATTCACATTCCTCTCAAAATCAAAAATAGAAATCCATTTGTAATATACGAGCAATCATTAATTTGTATGAACGACTAACTTGAACAATTTGAACAGTTGCTCCACTTGTGTCTTCGGTGTGTTTTGCCTGAATTCAAGCTTAAATTTCTTCTCCAACAGTTTGTCTTTTGCCAAGAGATTCTCTTGTTTAAGCAGGCATTTTGCCACGGACTCCTCCATGGACCTCACAATATCATTTAAGGCACGGAATTCGGCCTCAGCGTTCAGCAGATCATTCCTGGAATTTTTTTTGCAAAACTCACTCCTTATAACATGGAAAGGAACAACATTTGGACTGCATTTTGCAATTTGGAACTATGACTTCTAGCCCGGTTCAAAAACAACGTATGTGCCATTAGTTTCCCTATGCACAAAAGTGTTTTTTCAGATGAGTCAGAATTCATAGTTCCAAATTCCAAAATGCAGTCCATTTATCATTAGAGACACAAGATTCGGACGCTGCTACCAGCGATTAAATTTCGGGAGATTATTTCGGAGAGATCTCATTTTTAATAGTTTTTCTTTATTATCTCTAATTCTTTTTTTAAAAGTAAAAATGCTTTGTTTATACAAAAAATTTCTTTTAATTGCATGTTTTTCCCATGTTTCAGATAAAAACCATGCAACCACTCAATCGTTAAAACTTCAGCTTGATCTCATCACTACCTCCAACGTTTAACTATCCTCTAAGCCGTAGATATATTGTGCGACCCGTTGCGCAACCATTTCAACCTCAAATTGTCTTCTGATGATGTTGGTCAACTCGTATTTTGTTTCATTTGTAAATTTTGGCTCATCAAAAATGGTTCTTAGCTAAAGGACCATAAACATAGACGAACTTTTAAAGTATCTGTAGTGCAGTCTGCCGGCCAACTAGATGAAATTTTCATGGGATTCCCTGCTCTAAACGTTGCCAGTGGTATATTGGTGATCGCGATCATTTACATAAACAAGAATCTCTTTCGGTCGGGAGACATTAAATTAAAATTCTTTGAATTTTTAAGTCGTCAAAGTCATCGTTGATACATTAAAAATATGTGTACACTGTAGTATTAGTGTAATAGTGTAATTACCTATTATGAAGTGATGATTCCTATGTATACTGAAAAACTAAAGATATAAAATATGTTTGATACGCGATAGATGCAGGTTTGACCGGTTTCAGAAAAATATGCTAGCACAAAAAACACTTGTGAAAACATTGCACTACGTGTAAAGAGTGGTGTGAAGAAGGGTGTATTCATTACCAATCATCAACTTGCATCAATAAATCTTTTCTCCTAAGTAAATATTAATGTTTCTTTTATTCGTTGGTCAGGAAATTTATCTGAAACGGAAAGACGTTTTATAAAAATGTCTCAAAATATTACAAAACATGTGTTAATGTTGTACCTTAAATTTTCTTCTTTTTTGAGCAGAGACTTGAAGCGTTGATGGTATAACTGAGTCCGGGCAATGATCAGATTTTTCAAATTAATGGCTGCTTCAACTTCCAATCTGAATAGGTATAAGTTCAGAAGTTTCTTGTCAAAATCTTGAACTCTTTCCTATATTGTTGGATGAAATAACGAGTGAAATTGAAGAGGACATAAACTAGAAACTTTTAACGAAATATTGTTTGAATTCTGAAATATTTCTCCTTCAAGGAAATGTAAATGCTCTCTTTGTATGTTCATCATACTAACAGAACATACCTACAGGCACAAACATACATTTATCTTTTCCTCATACTTAATATGGGTTGAGTTTTATATATGGCAGTGTATTCATCACTTAATGGATTCAGATACTTCTAATTTTAAGTATAAATACTGCACTTTTAAAAATCGACTTTTTTCCAAACATTTGTAGGCTAATCAAGACAGGAATATTACCATTTGTGACTAAATTATTAAGAGGTCATTCTGTTTATCATAAAAAAAATACAACAGATTCAATGATGACATTTGATGACAATGTTGAAAAGTTAGTATCGTCGATGGCTAAACTTTAAGAGTGCGAATGTTTGATTCAGACGTTGGAAATCTGAGCCTAAAAAAACAGATTTTACTTCTTTTTAAAAAAAAAAAAAAAAAAAACCAACGATTTGTTTTCAACTTGATTTCGCTCATTCTAAAAAATTCACAAAAAAAGTTATGAATTTTGACATTTGACACATTTTGAATAGTTTATTATTCTTTTTTTTTAAGGAAATAATTTTAGAATTCCAAGAGTTGTATTGAAAAGTTCCTTTTTTATTTTGGCTTCAATTTTTATTTCAGGTTTACAACCCTTAACAATTCTTTAATGACTCCGTTAACTTTAAATTTTCGGAAATTATTGTTTTTGCATTTTACTGCCGTGGCGGCTCAAACGTACCTGTAAGTTTTCGATTATTTGCAGCCATTCTTCATCAATTTGTTTCTTGTACCGCTTCCTCCCCTCTTCAAGTTCTTTGACCTTTCTTTTCCAGTCTTCAACTGCCTTCTCTCTCTCTTCTTGCAGCTCCTCTGGAATTTTGGATAGCTGCAAAATCACACATTGAGGTTATAATCAAAGTGACCCCTAAGGGGCAAAATAGTTGATATAGGGTCTCAAGCAGAGAACTTAGTAATTCTGAATATCATGGAAGTTTGGTGCGTCAAGAGATACCCTACCTCTTCGTGCAACAACAGTTGCCACTCTAACATTGTGTGAAAAGTTGTGTAATTTTGAATCTTTTGCAAGTTCAAAAAGATTTTTAGAAAATTAATTGAACATATGAATTATTTCCTGAATAATTTCTTTGAAATTTTAGATATACGAATATTTTTGATCACATACATTTTTGGCGCTGAGAGATATTAAAAAAGAGAAACTCTAAATGCTATTATTAGTATAGAATATTCATCGACCTACTAGACTACATTTTGCAATCAGGAACTACAATGTTTAACTCATCTGTAAAATCATTTATCTTGAAGGGGAGACTATTTGAATTGCATTTTGCAAAAAGGAACCAAGAGTGTCCCAATATCGCTAAGATTGTGCAACTTACATTTTTTGCAATTAAATTACTGGCATCATGCAATAACGTAAATTTACAAAGATAATTTTCATCTTGAATTGCAGTTTATTCGAAGTAAAGATAAAACTTTGTTTCGATGATCAGCGATGATTCGCAAAATGCAATCCAATTATACCTCCGTTGTTCTCTGGGAAGCCAAAAATGGTAGGTAATTGGTTCCATCTTGAAAAATGTAGCACAATGAAGCAATTATAGTAAGCAGAGTCTCAAACATTTTGAAAGTAATCCTATATGATGTTTTTATTATTGTAATTAGTAAATTTTCTTTGATAAAGGCTTTACCATACCACTTCCTCCAATGGCGGGACGTCCTTCTTCAAGAGGTCCTCCCACCGCACCTCCAAAACACCATCCATCATTTTCACCAAAGCGTTTTCTCGGAAGGAGTCCGTGGCGTACTGAAGCTGAAGTTTACTCTCGTCAGTTTTCTGCTTTCGAGTGTAGATCGTTTTTTTCTGCTCAGGAGGTTTACTCCGTATCTGGAAAACAATGCACAACACAATGATGGAAACTGGAGGGTACGTTCCCTGGCCTCTACGCGGCTCAACCCCTCAGAGGGCGTTCCGCGCTATCTGAGGCCCGCTCCGCGGGTCCCCGTAAGTTAATGTAAATAAAGCGGGTCTCTCTATAGATCATTTCCCGTCTATAGCCGCATAAATTATGAAAATCGGCCCAGTAGATATTTAGAGCGAATTATGACGAAAAATGAATATTTTCATTGTTTGAACGGGAGAGTACACGATTCTATCACGTAATTTAAAAAATCCGGGTTTTGTTTCCAAAATCTGAATCAAATGGCCGGCTCACTAAGCGGGCCTCTATATAGATCATTTCCCGTCTATAGCCGCATAAATTATGAAAATCCGCCCAGTAGATATTTAGAACGAATTATGACGAAAAATGAATATTTGCATTGTTTGAACGGGAGAGTACACGGTTCTATCACGTAATTTAAAAAATCCGGGTTTTGTTTCCAAAATTTGAATCAAATGGCCGGCTCACTAAGAAAAATCTTCTGTCGATAGCGGCAGAAATAAGGGAAATCGGCCCAGGAAAATGTTAGAACGAATCGTGACCAAAAATGTAAATTTAAAGGGTCAGCGAGTTTATAGCAAAAATGATAAAGCAAAGTTGTTACAGAAGTGTATTTCTGAGTCTGTAAGACAACTTCATTCGATTCGTGCATGTAAGTGAAGTACCCCCAAAAAGTGCATTTGATTGAGGAAGGGCGGAAGAGCATCGTGGTAATCTCCTCCGTTTGAATTCTTCCTTGTCATTCTTTATCAGCTCTCTAAATTTATGATGTATTTTAAAAATTCGGCAGTTCTCTCCTCTAATGGCCACTAGAAATCCTGGAAATTTTGATGATGAGATGCTGTATACTCAAAATATGGAAGGCTCATGTATTGATATTCAAGATCCCTTCAAAAGGCATGACTGCAGCCCCATAAGCTTACCTCATGAGGTGCAACTTCTAAAATTAGATGGGATTTTTCAATCTGAGTCCAGACCGGATCTTGTGGCGTTGACTCCTCTGATGGGACTAAAAGAAAATAAATGCAGGATATGAGATGGTGAAAACTAAACGGATTTCAGACCTGAGGTCTGAGGCTTCAATTTAGTAAATAAAATATAAAAAGTCTAGTGAGCAATAAATTTCCATCAGTAAATATTTATAATTATCAACGCAACATCACCCAAAGGATTAAATTCGCCGAGAAAACGAGATTAGAAAGAAAATCTTAAAATATTACATTAATTATTAATTATTGAAAATTCAATCACAAAAAGGCTCGCTACAATCTTCAACACTGACATTTCATCAATTCCAGGACCTTAAAACACCCACTACCAAAACGAGTTCTCATACGTAATTAGTTTCCATCACTTCCAAACCGTCACAACCATAGCATTGTTTCACATGTACAAGAGTTTTTCATGCCAAACTTTTCGTGAACCTTTCCAATTACTAGAATTTTTGCCTTCCTCTAACATTGCCTTCAACTACCATTTCTACCATTTTCGAGCCAAAGTCCGGGAGGAGGGGGGAGAGGAAGAACTCCCGAACATCGTAATTAAAAGTACTCGGGAAAAGGGCGTGTTTCAGTGGCGTGGCGTGCTTTGCGATGTATCGATTGATATGCCATTTAAACCTATGAAAAAGGATCGATAATGAGGGTGTTCGCAGCAAACACCTTAATAATCGATTCTTTACCATAGGTTTAAATGGCAGAACATCGATATATCGCAAAGTACGCTACGCCACTGCCGTGTTTATCTTAGTTTCTCAAAACTGATCATGCGGACTTGAAGCTCTGCTCTATGAAAATGATTCAGATTTGTGCATGTAGTACGGATATATGAGGAGCAGCCGGGAACAGTATTGTGGCTTCCCAATAATTTATCGTTCTGCGAGAAAAGAGTTTCTTCTCCGCGAAGGAAAGTTTCGTCTCCGCAGAGGAAGCTCTAGCTCCTTTACGGAGAGGAAACTCAGACGGAAAGAAATGTACCTCTTGAGTGACGACTAATTTTCGACAAAAATTCTCTCTCGCACAAGCCGAATGATCACTGAAAAAAATAATATGCTATTTTAGCACCTAGGATGTCAAAAATGTGTCTGGTGATCCCAAGATGCTGCCTTTACTGCCCTTGTAGTTAACTTTACATCCTATGAATGCAAATTCAACTGCGTGTGCAATCAAGGTAGCATGTTAGGATCACTAGACACACTTTTGACATCCTAGGTGCTAAAACAGCATACCATTTTTTTTCAGTGATGATGTTCGGACCCGTTAGGGAAGGAAGTGAAAGGCTACGGTTAGTACAAACAATGGTTCACCCCACGCATGAAAATTGCGGTCAATTACGATGTAAACTAACTGACCAGAAAGGCCTCGATGACGAGTTACATAGGTTTGTCCCTAGGAGTAAGATTTAAACGGAATGTTCAAGAGTTCCCCCCCCCCCTCCCGGACTTTGGCTCAAAAACGGTACTGAATGAGCTGGCATTAAATCGTAACAATAGTTAAGAGTGTCATGAAGCAGCGTTAGTCGTTGGAAGGCCGCTAGCGAACTTTTCCTGGGGAATAATCGTCAAAAATATGCCTTGAAACGATGTTTTAGCAATTTTGAGGGGCACCGGGGGGCTATGGAAAGTTGACGAGAACTCAGGAAATGGTGCTATGCGTAGTGATACAAGCAACCGTCCTCATGTTATGACCGGAAAACCGATTTTGGGGCAATCCCTCCCCCCCCCCAAAAAAAAAAAACCCTAGCCGCCATGTTATTGATAAGGACTTTTTTAAGGGAACTCCCGGGGTCATAAGGATTCACTATCCCAAAAATCAGCTTGTTATTAATTGTTTTCCTTAACTTTCGTATGAAGCCCTTTATTCACGTTGCAAGTTTTAAGTTGAATGTGGGGATCATCGATGAAGGTTTTTGAAACATATTTCACGATCATCGATGAGTGATGCATCGATGACCCCCACTTTAAGCAAAACAATTGCAACGTGTGGAAAGAGCGTAATTCCTGGACTAGGTAAGTAGTAGGACTATAAATCAATTTTAAGTTTTTCGTTTCTTAGGTCCCTTTTTCTGAGAATTATCAAAAAATGAAGAGGCCATAATATAGGATGACGTATATTATTCTTACTTTTACAAGAAGCCGCTCTTTCATACTGTATAGTTCTCAGCCGTTCGTGCTTCTCTGACATCTCTTGTAGCTCCTTCTCCTTGAGGTCAAACATTTCATCAAAACGCGCGTTGAAATTCTTTCGCAGTTGAACAGTAGCTTCCTGCGAGCCAAAAAATTGAGAGATGAACCAACATCACAACAATGCCATACGAAGGTTTTTTCAGGAGGTCCTTCAGAAATTCAATAGAGTCCACTTCTGTCGTGCTAAGGAAGAACGCAGTATGAGCCTTTAGCCGTTGCCAAGTTTCCTCCGATAAAAAACCGAATTTACTGGGAAAATTTTGAACATTAATTTCCAACATTTTCAGACAATTTTGTACGCGATTTAATCAAGAATATCTGAACATTCCGAGGAAAAATATGCATGACAATTGTCAAAAATACATGTTTTATCAAGGGGAATTTCGCAACTCTCGAATGTTTATACGGCGTTCTTCCTTAGCACGGTAGACTCGTGGATTGGGCTCTTTTCTTCAAAGTTGAGCACTGGCCAGCGAAGAAAAGGGTTGGTATAGAGGCAGCGATTAAACCATTTAATGCGATGCAAACACAAAAACCAGAGGTGTAGTAAACAACAAAATTAAAACGCATGGTAATCAAAAATTAACAAATTGAAATTAAATCTGGGCACGAAAATCAGCCCGACTGCATTTGACGTTGCCTAATTTCCTCTCGTGTTTGATTTTGTGAACAGAAATCTGAATAGACTTCGTTAACTTTCTGTAAATAATTAAGAATAAACCCTCGAAACTGAAGGTTAAGAGCTTCATTTTCTTTAAAAAAATAAATATACGAGAGGAAACTAGACAACGTCTGATGTAGTTATGCTATTTCCGGCCAAATCTATCAATTTTTTTTACTCTAAAAAAATTTCATTTAAATCAGCAAAATTCATGGTTGCCAACTTGCAGGGATCACTACTGATCCGACCCGAAGTAGCCATTAATTTGCTCGATTAAGCATAAACAGAAATGAGCAGAAAATTCTGTTCTCGGTCTTACCATGAGGGAAGGGAATTCCCTTGCGGCGGCCAAGAAACTGTTCAATTGAAGTTGGGAACAACCGCGGAATTCTTGAAAGACTCCAGGAGGACCATGACTTGGTGGGGCTAGAATGTCCAGCTCGTCCTCAAAAGTTTTTGGAACTTTCAACGATTTGCCTTGCGATTTTGAAACTGCTCTTCCAAAATTGTCCTTTCTGGAAGCATAAATTGAAATATATGTACTGACGTGCTGAGGAAGAACGCTGTATGAACATTCGAATGTTGCCAAGTCTCTTGCTATTCATTGTTTATTTTTGAGGGAAGTTGTCAATATTTGAGTGGCTTGGAGGACAAGGCGCTTAAGTGCAGTTTTCAAAAAAGTTGAGATATTAATGATTTTAAGTGGAACTAGCCTTAGTGCATATGCTGTGAAAAATTTGCTTTCAAATTCCAAGTATTAAGTAAGCGTCAAAGAGACAGTTTGAGCTTTCTTTTCACCATGAGGATCCATGTAATTTCGAAACTTCAAACACGTATTTTTCGAAACAGCAAAAACTGCACTTATGCACCTTGTCCTTCAAGCTCCTCATTTTTTCATGAAATTTTTAAATATTTTAAATAAAACTGCGAATAAAAATATCTAGAAAATTGCAAGGAATACATCTATAAGTTCCCCAGAAAGTCCGTAAAGTAATCAAAGTAAATTTGGCAACGTCTGAAGGCTCATATGGTGTTTTTCCTGAGCACGGCAGGATAGTTATCTTCAACAATAAATATAATGGGTCAGTCACGCTAGTTTCAGGATCTGGTTTTGATGCTGTAAGTCGTTGTATTGCGAAAAATAACCGGTTCTCTCCAAATGCAGGGTGTTTCTGCCTGGGTGAAGGGATAATTTGCCTTCGATTGAGGAGATATGCCAAACGCGTTCGCATGTGTCGATCATACTGATGGCTAAAGTGTAAAACCACATATCTTCATTGGGTTTTCAAAAGCTCATCCTCTATTTTATTTTTTCGAAGAGAAGGAAGTCAACCATTTAATTTGAATATACGAATAGAGAAGGAAAATCAAGGAAGTTCTCAAGGAATTAAAGTGACTACTTTGAATGAAACTTAACTACTTAACTAACTTGACTACTTCATTTTTTCGAATGAAAAAATGAAGGCTCTTTTACGTAACTTGGCAGAATTAACGTTATCCACCATAGTTTTGTATATTATGGCTCCATAACTTAAAGTATCATATAATAATGATAACCAAAATCATGTGCGATTTTTCACTGTCAGCTCAATAATGACACAATTTAAAAATATTTTACAGGAAAGTATAAATATAAGACCCAATTTACTATGCATCGACGATGACAATGGACAAAGGAATGAGGCATCAAAGTAAATACCTTTTGGTGACATGAGCCCACGGTTTTGTACTTTGATCCTTTGAAATTGAAAAATCCAGCTCTCTTATCTGAACAGAATGTTTCAGCTTCGCGATAGCCTCAGGATCCGTGTAAGGTAGAGCGAAATTTTCAACCAAGAAAGAGTTCCCTATTGCCTGAAATTTTTTAAAATAAAAATTTAAATAAACATGTTGTCATGAGGGGAAGTCACATCATTGAATTGTTTTTAGAATAATTCGCTAAAAATCAATGATAATCAACTGACGATATCGCTTATCGAGAAGCCAATTGTGTAATTAAAGTGACATCATTCAGAAAATAAACAAACTACGATTTCAAATAAATGAAAATACTCGTTGGATCGCATTCAGCAAATAGGAAACAAGGCACATCAGCTATTGCCAAGTATAATTGGGCAATTTTATGTCCTATAAGAGAACGTTTGTTCAGATGTCATTAAAAATGTTGAGGTTTTTCCTTCGTATTATGCAGAAAATTCTCTGAAATCTGCACAAAAATCCGCGCAGCCGTTTTCATTTGAAAATTTAAACTGCCCAATTAAATTTGGCAATGACTGATGTGCGGCTTGGTTCATTTCTGCCTAACGCAGTCCAGTTACGAAATGCATTTTTTTCGAGAAAATTATATGCAAAATCTGAGAGTAAAATGGCTCACATTTTTTTAAAAAAAAATTGTATTTAATATAAGGAAATTTCGGAGAGTTTGGGGCGCCATGCAACGGCATCATAACGAGAGATATACTAAAAGTTTAAAAAAATAAAAGAAAAACTCACTTACTTTCAGACATTTTCCTTTGAACTCCATGACGTCCCAGCATTTTTCAATTATGACGTCTTTCATTCGATCCCATTTGCTAATTTTGGTTTTGTAGTCCACCTGGGTCTTTTCGCGCTCCTCGGCAGATTTTTTGTAAAGCTTTTCTGTGTTTTCACTATCCAAGTCGAACTCCGATATTGGCAGCTGCTCTTGCTCCGAGAGAGTTTCATTTTTATCGAGCAACTCTTTCAGCTGCGATTTCAAGGCTTCAAACTTGAGCAAGATGTCTTGCTTTTCATTCTCCTCGTCCGAGGTTGCAGGGTTTATTGCTCCTTCGCCCATTGACCTTGTAATATTTAAATCATTGCCGCGAGCAACCGACTATCCTCAAAAAGAGATACACTGGAAAAAATATGGTAAATTTTATCATACTTTCGGGGGAGCTTTACCGCACAAGAAAATGACTTAAAAAGTTAAAAGTTAAATTGTTTACTCACTTGCAAGTGAGTCGCGATCGAGCATCGAAAATGGTCCGTACTGACCGAAACGCGTCTGCGGAAAAATAATTAAAAAACGTGCAAGTGAGTAAACAATTCAACTTTTGACTTTTTAAATTTTATCATACTCTGACACAGTGATCCGAGTGTGGTAATGAACACCAGACTCGATGGTAGAATTTACCATGTCATGGGAAGTATCACCAAAGTTCTGGTGAATACTATCGTAAGTCTGGTTATTTTCACTAAACAGAAGGTATCGCCGCGTAAAAAATCAAGTAGGCTCATGGTAGATGTTACCATACTTTTCTTTCAGTGTAGTCTGAAAGAAAAAGGTTAGTGTTGAAAAAGTCGATTTACCTCAATGAAATAAAACGGGCCCAGCACAACAGTTTATTTTATTGAGGTACCTTGAGTTTTTTATCACTAACCTTTTTCTTTAAAATCTTAATTCCCCAATGTTTTTTAGTCTCCATTTAACGGTATTAAATACATCAAGTCCCCAAGAAGGGAACAGAGTCAATCAAAACGAATAAATCCTAATCGTGCGAGGGAGTTGGTATTGAATATACTAATCTTTTCACCTTTTAATAATGGGCGAATCAAAACATATCCTGTTCGTTATTAAATGGACTAGGTACATTTTACCATTAGGAGCTACCAATTTTGGCTCACCCACAGAAGCACTTATCTACTAAGAGAAAGTCAGGGCACATAAGTTCTGTGTGATTTGAGCCAGAATCAAAGTTCCCTTTGGCAAAATGTTGTCCAAATAATAGGCGACTCTTATGAAAGGAGGGGATGAGTAAAGGATTTCGGGGAAATTTTTACTTATGGTTAAGAGATAGCAATTGAGTCACGTGGTTCATGAACGGTGTAAACTGACACTACCAAGATAATATCTATATTTGTAAATTGATATTGCCTGCTTTTCAGTGGTACTTAACTCTTAAATGAGTTTCACTAAAAAAATGTTAGTTTCTCAATGGGAATGTTGCACGTGTGAGGGATTTGCGATTTGACTGTTGTTTCTTATGTAAAAGTTTGCGAGAAACACGATGGTGCCACTGGTTTTCTCTGAAAGCATCTCCCAAGCTCAAAAAAAGCTCTCAAAGTGAGGCCGAAATGGAGGGGATATCCCACCCTACCCTGAGAGTCCACCTCTACATCAAAATCTACTCTCCATGCAAAGATAGGGAGCAAATAAATTGACAGGGCTGCCACTTCATTTGGGGACTCCAAAACTGAAAACACGGCAACCCTGCTAATGTATTTGCTCCCTATCTTTGCATGGAGAGTTTGTTTTGATGTAGAGGTGGACTCTCAGGGTAGGGTGTGATATCCCCTCCATTTTGGCCTCACATAGAGAGCATTTTTTGAGCTTGGGAGATGATTTCAGAGAAAACCAGCGGCACCATCGTGTTTCTCGCAAAGGACCCTACAACAAAACGGCCAAATCGGCCTAAACACGGAATCGCACGATTTTCTCAGGGATGATAGAGGGTCTTCCCAGACACTCAAAACTGGTCATATTTTTTGCCTAACCCCCAGGGAAAAGGGGGGAGAGGGGGTCAAAGTCAAAACCTTTAAATTAGCATAACTTCTCAACGGTTTGTCGTAGAAAGATGATCTTGGTGTCAAAATTTCCAGAAAAATGAGAGCTTTCAGAATGTATGAATGAAATAAATAAAATTTTAAAATTTGACCCACTTTTGGGGCATTTTACAAGGTCCCCCTTTCGTAAATTTTCGTTTTTTGAGATTTTTGGTTGTTCGGTTTGCACGGATTAAAACAAAAACAATTTCAAATGAAAGAAGAGCGTTTAAGCTTTAAAACAAGCCCAAGATGATCTTGGGGAAACGATTAGAAGCGGAGTTATGAGTCTTCAAAGTTGACG